AACTCTCAAGTCTGTGAAGGACTCAGAATAGTCAGACCACGCTACTTCTGCCTCCCAAGAAAAGTAGCCAAGTGTCTACCCCCGCTGTCCTTAATTTGGGCCAATGTCAGCACCAGTTCTAAAGGGGTTTCCCTGATTCCAGTCTCACCCCCCACCTAGGTCCAGTTTCTTCTACAACATAGGCTTGTAGAGATCTGAAATAGAAACGTTCTCTCCCCAGCTCTTGGCCTCACTCTCCTTGGGAAAGCTGATCAACTCCAGGTATGGGTCGTTCACCCAGCTCCTCCTGACCTTGCCAGCCTCCTTCTTTGCCCTTTGCTACCTCCAGCTGCAGCCCCACCATTCTCTACCCCTTCTCCTTAGCATTTTGCTGTTGTTTGTGAGATGGGCTCTCACTATTTGGCTCTGACTCAACTGGAACTTGCTTTGTAGACCAGGCTGGCCTTGGACTCAGGTCCACTTGCTTCTATCTCTCAAGCCTAGCACTTTTGTTTTTGTTTTACAAGGCAGGGTTTCTCTGTATTGTTTTGGAACCTGACCTGGAACTAGCTCTGTAGACCAAGGCCTAGCACTTTTTAAAGATTTATTTTTATATGTATGGATGTTTTTGTCTCGTGTATGTATATGTACCACATGTGGAAACCAAGAGGACCTCAGAAGCATGTCAGCCACATACTGGAGTTATGATGGATGGTTGTCAGCAGTCAGGTGAGCACTGGGAACCCAACACCCAACCGTGGTCCTCTGTAAGAGCAGCAACAGCTCTTAATCTAGTCCTTCCTTTTGCTCTGGTTTTACCTCCTGATTCCATCTTCCTCTGACCTCACCCCTTATTGACTCAGTTTACTGACACCACCCCCAATGACTCCATCTCCATCACCCACTGTCTTCACCACCTGTCACTGATTCTTCCTCTGGTTGATTGGTCTCAGCTCTCGACTCTAGCTCCATCTGCCACTCTAGTCTAGTCCCCCCAGTTTCCCTTCACAGCCAGCCCTTCTTTATGGGCCATCCACTTGAGCTCCTTTTTATTTCTATTTTTGCTCACTCAAATATAATTTGTGCACAAAGAATGAACTTAGATTCGGGTAGAAAGGATGGAAACAAGCTTGATGAAGCATTCCCCTTATCAAATACAGCCTGGAGTGTCATTTGTGACCTTTAACATACTGGTGGGTGGAACTGGAGTTCAGCGATTCTTGTCTGCCTTATTCCCTTCCTTTGCATGTGGGAAGAACCTGTGACTTGCATGTAAACCACAGAATATGGAGATAGCGATAGGATGTCACTGTTGTGTCTTACGTGTAATGATTAGATTATATATGACTGTCTTGGGCTGAGGAGACAGCTTAGTTGGTATAGTGCTTGACCTGAGTTTGAGCCCCAGAACCTGAAGAAAAGGCCAGGCATGGGGTGGACACTTACAATCCTAGTTCTAGGGAGGTGAGACACATAGATTCCTGGGGCTCCCTGGCCAGCCTGCCTAGCCTATTCAGAGAGCTTCAGGCCAATGAGAGATCTTGTCTTAATAAACAAGGTGGACTCCTCTGGAGGAATGTCAGAGTTGTCCTCTGGTCTTCATGTCCACTCACTGGCACACACACGCCTGCACACTCACCTGTGCACACACACCTGCACACACACACACACACACACACCTGCACACTCACCTGTGCACACACACACTATTAAATAAGTAAAAAATATCGCTAGGCTGGAGAGATGGCCAAGCAGCTAAGAGCACCTATGCTTGTAGAAGGTCCAGTTTTGGTTCCCAGAACCCACATGGTGGCTTACATCTGTAACTCTAGTTCCAGAGGATCCAAAACACTCTTCTGACCTCTTTGAGCACCAGACACACATGTGGCAAAACATGCAGCCAAAACACAAAATACTGTTAAAATAGATAAACCTAAATTAAAAAAAAATTAAGACAGTCTTGTTAGCTGGATCACTATGGAGACTTTTTGGCTTGCCTGATGAAGTAGCCACATAAAATAAGCTGAGGAACTGTTACAGCCTCCAGGAACCACCACCTCCAAATGATGACCAGAAAGAAGCCAGGGCCTCAGACTTATGGTCATAAACACACAAAATGAGGTTTGACAGCCTGCCTGGGGGTGGGGAAATCTTCCTTCCCCAGTACAGACTCCAGATGAAATCAGTCCCTCCCTGACACTTCAGTTTGACCTTGTGAGACTCCAAGCAGAGGTCCTAGCTGAGCTTTGCCTAGTCCCTGACTCTCAGCAGCCTCGAAGTATGGGGTCATCTGTCAGAGAACCATCACTGACAGGCGTGTGAAGGTGAAAGGTGGTGAGGAGACAGAGAGCGGAGGGAAGTACGCTTGCTTGATGGCTGCGTGAGGTGGTGCTGATGAGAAGCACAGCTTCTTTAGACTGGCGAGGAGGCATTTGGTTGGCTGCAATAGAAACAAATTTATCAAGCTTTGTGCAAAACAGAAGCAAATAAATAAAGCAATTTACTGTGAGGACATAGCACAAAAAATACAAAACCTCCTTCAGCATTGGTATCTCCAATTATAGATTCCTTCCCTCACAGGCATGCAATGTTAACTACCAGGAGATACTAAGCACTGTGCGGGGAGAGACAGCTCTGCCCTCTGGCTAATAGGCTCATGAATGTCCACAGCTGTGCAAACCCACACTGGCCAGGGAGGTAGAGTCTCTGGAGTTCTTACTGTTTGGCTGCACCAGAGCCAGCGACTGCCCTGCCAGCATGTTTCTCTCTTCCTAGTTCCACCAATGTTACACAATAAAAGTGGAAGCTGCTGGTCTAGAAGATCTGCTAGTGAAGACTGCATCTGAGAGCCCACGTGGACTCGAGCATAAAAGGGTAGAGCAGCAGTGTCTGAAACAGGGCGGAGGGTCTGCAGCACGGAAGGAAGGCTGAAAGCAGACCCCACAGAGGAAGCTTTGTCTTAAGACCTTAACATGAGCTCACACTGGGAGGTGGAGCTGCAAAGAGGGAATCCATTCCCAGCAGGGAGCCAGTTCTAGGGAGCAGATCACTCTAACCTCCTCTAACTCTGGAATGGCCACAACGTATAACCAACCACCTCTGACATTTGGTGGCCTTCACTGAGCAGGGTCAAGAGCAGGCTCCTCCCAGGAAGCCAAGTGGGCACTGGAGAGTGGGAAGAGGAATGGGTGTTATGTGTGGCCATAGAGCACTCTGAGCAGTTTCTTGAGAAACTGGAAAAGGGAGGAAAACTGTCTGAAAGCCAGATTCCAGAAGCATCTCCCTGGAGACCATTTTTCTAGATGGCTAGAGATGCCACCATGTATCAAGATGAGGCTTCTTCTGGACAGCAGGAGTAAAGCGCTCTGTAGTGTCATGAAGGGGCACAAGCAACTCCCTCTGCAGACCTCAGAAGTCCTTATAGTGAAGGAACTAGCTGCCATGCTTAGTCCTGCATCTGCAGAGCCTGGGGTGTGACTGAAGCCCGAATGCCGAGCCACTGGGTGTCTGGTCCTCAGTGAGGATGGAGGGAAGCTTCAGTTTGGTATTTATTTTCATTTTTGTTCCCCCTGAAGACTGGGAAGCCAAGATTTAAGATAGGGTACCACAAGCAAATGAGTTTGGTATGTTGTAGAGCCATGGACAGCAGGCATGAGCCACAATGCTATGTATAACCTGCAGAGAAACTTCCACAGGCTTGCTTGGTTTTGTAGCCAATTAAAAAACAAGGGAAGAGGGAGCCTTCAGCAGACATAAAGACTTTTCTTTTATACAAGATTTATTATTTATTTTTATCTTATGTGTGTTTTGTCTGTATTTATGTATGTGCACCACATGAGTGTTTGGTATCCATGGAGGTCTAAAGAGGGCATTAGATTCCTCTGGAACTGGAGGTACAGGTGGTTGTGAACCCTCATATGGGTGCTGGGAATTGAACCTGCATCCTCTGCAAGAACAGTGCTCTTAACTGCTGGGCCATCTCTCCAGCCCCCAGACATAAATGTAAAAAGTGTGGAAAATGTTTCTAAGTGCGTATTTTCAGTGTAATTAACAAATGAAGTGCTTTTGAGGTGGAGGGATCTTGGAGGGAAGAGAAATATTTGTTGTTGCTTAGGGGTGTGTGTGTGTGTGTAATGACACTACATACACATAGGGGTATATTTTTTGGTTTAAGTTGTGGGATGGTTGGAGCTCAGACTGGCATGAACTCGGGATGCTCTTGCTTCAGACTCCTGAGTGCTGAGATTCCAAGCAGGCAGATATTGTACCCAATCACAGTGTCTTCTAAGCCAGCAGAGGTCACAATTAATATGCAGTTCCAGGCACCTAATTCTGACAGTGTTTGCCCATATGTGTCATCAAGAAAGCCACCCTATGTGGGACATGGGGAGGGGTCACACACAATAAGAACAGCTGTCTATACTATCAGCCTTAGATTCTGCTCTTACTCTTACTCTTAGACAGGGCAGGAACACACTCAGGTTACTGGAAAAGAGAATTCTCATGGAAGTCATTTCCTAATGCACACACACAGCTCTAAAACTCACTGGTAGTCAGGTTCCCTGAGTCCAAGCCTGTCTGGACAGACCAGAAAGACACATCAAGACTGTGCGACCACAAACAGTCTTAACCATGGGCTAAGGGACAATCAGGTGGCCAGTATCACACTTGGCAGTTGTTCCCACCAATGTTGACTATTGTCTCTATTCTTTCACCTTTTTGAGACAGGGTCTCAGGTAGTGCACATTGGCCTACTGTAGTTGTGTACCTGATTTTGAACACCTGATCTTCTGCCCCTATCTCCCAAATGCTGGGATAGTAGGCATGTACTACCACTATACTTGGTTCCCCAGCCCTGATCCCCAGTCTTATTATGTAACCCAGGCTAGTCTCAAACTCCTAACTCTCTCCTCCCTAGTGCTAAAACTATCATGTTAGTGTCTCTCTATTCTGGAGCAATACACGCATGCATGTGCATACACACACATATATGCCAGAGTTTGCCTCTAAGAATTATCAAGTTTTCTTATAAACCACAGAATATATTTAATTCAAATTAAACACAAAACTAGAATAACATTCCATCTTTATCAAGTAGCCATTATATTGTTTTTTTTTTTTTTTTTTAAAAAAGAACAGTATATTTCTCTCCATATTCTGGCAATCCACAAGGCACGACTCACATCCAGTTTGATGAGGCGACAGAGCCAGCAGTCGCCATCAATGCTCGAGGTTCTCAGGGTTGGAGGAGACACAGACTGTATTTAATACAAAATGATTCTGCAGCTTGTCTGAAGGAACAACAGAAGCTCCCTCTGGTATGTGACAACCAAAGTCCAAGTAGCAGGAAGTAGGCAACTTGCATAATTATAATGTGTTTTATTAAATAGATAGGTGAGTCTCTTAGTCACTCCAAGTTGCTGTCTGTGTTAACAGCATGGGCAAAGGTTTCCCACACATTTCTCAGCAGTAATACTCTTTCCACTGTAGGTATTTCCTTGTTCTATCATTTTTGGCATGATTTTTGTCCTAGATAAAGCAAGCCAACTTCTTCACGACACAGGTCATCCGGCTTTGAGGATTGGCCCTTTCCCTTCTCTGTGGGCCGTGGGAGTCTAGTCCTTCGTGGTCAGACCTTCCTTCTCCCACTGAAAGCTTCTCACTGTGTGGTCTGCAGGGACAGAGGCTTGCCTGACCCAGTTCTGTTCACCAGGATGGAGGGCCAAAGGCTGGCAAGTGGCTTTCTTCACAATGCCGTACTTTCTGTGTCATTGTCTATGTCCAGCAGAATGTGGCCAGGTACTTCTTTGCTTGCCAAGTCTGAATGAATTTCAGGAAAGATGTTGCGAAGTGATTCCGAACTCCTAGAATTGGTGTCTGGACAAAAAAAAAAAAAAAAAAAAAAAAAAACCACGAAGAAACATGGTATCAGTGAGGGTAAGGTCTACGTTGTCACCAAAGGCACTGAGAAGAAAGGCTGGAAGGTCAGCCCATGCACAAACACAGTCCCTTTCTAGAGGGTTCAGTAGCCACAAGAAGTCAAGCCCTTGAGAGCCTAGACTCAGTTGCCTGCTACAGCCTACTGGTAGTCCTGAGAATCTGGGCAGCCCACAGAGATGTGACCCTTCAAATATGCCTGCTTTGAGTAAAGGAAATCCCACTCTCACCCAGATCTCTAATGCACTAACTGCGGGCTCCTGACAGCATCTATGTTGCAGGGGAAGAGTGCCCTGGTAAGAACTCACTTCTGTGGCTATGATAAAAAAGCTGTGACCTCAACCTCTACCTGGTCAAAGCATGGACTGAGCCATTCTGAGTTGCAGGACTATCCTGTGAACTGTATGACGCTGAGAATTCCTGGCTTTTACACACCAGATGCTGATGGCATACAGACTACTAACATCTACAGTGACAACCTGAAATGTCTCAGGCACTGTTAAGTGTCCCCTATGGGACGGACACACCCCTGTTGCTAACTTAAGTAGACCACCAAATCTCTAAATACTATTTCTTCTAATACTAACACACTGAAAATCTGTTTACAGGTCTCTTTATATTGACTGAAAATTCCTTTGGGAAGATGGCAAACATCCGGTTCTTAAGCCACTGCCCTTCTCCTTCCTTGCTCACAAGGCCCTTTTATTCACCACAGCTCTCTTCCAGATAACCACATGCCAGGTCCTGCTCTGCCTGCTGAGGATATAATAGTGAATGAGACAGACATGGCCTTGATGAAACCCATACATAGGTGATCCAGGACTGGTTTCTGCCCCTTCCCTGAAAGTCCTCCCGAGCCTCTGTCCCTATAGTTTTGAGCAATGGTCTACTTTCTCCTGGGGGTATATCCCTTTTCCCTCAATGACTCCTGGATCAAGAGACCATAACTGGGGGAAGTTCCTAGATTATCGAGGTGGCAAGGAGTTAAAGGGTCCAGGCACTCAGGGCCATTTCAGACAGTTCAGGTTTTATAGTAACTAGAAAAGCAACTGAATAGGTCTCAATCTCACTGTTCAGAAACACATCAAAAGCAGCCTGTGTACACAGAATTAAGGATGTCACAGACTTGTGGCTTACCCACAAAGTAGACACTATAAACTTTGCAGCTGGGTAGTTGATGAACAGATAAACTGGTGGAAACTTCTGTCCAAACCTCCCTTTCACAGCCTTAGGCAGAGAGGTAGGTAGCCATGACTCAAAGGCAGGAGCGAACAAGAAAATCATCACAAATTCAATCCCTTCCCCCATCATCCTACCATGGATGGCACTGCTAGTCCAGAGTTCACAAAGCCCGAGGAACAGACATGAGCTGGTGCAACATGCAGAACACAAAGACATGCTAACCACATTTTTTTTGCTTGTCAGTATCTCTACTCATGTGCTAGCTATTAACCCTTTCTAGAGGGCAAACTGGCTCCTCTTTTTCTCATCCATCAGAGAGGGAGGTGCCCTGGGTACCACTTTATCAAGGTGATAAGCCAGCATGAGTCAGATATGAAGCAAAGGCAGCATATCTGGGCTCTCTGAACACTACATTTCTCTACCTCCCCAAGGACTGTGTGACTCCTCCAAGAGGGTCCTAAGGAAAGGACATTATCTGAGGAGATAATGGTTGAAGTCCTGAATACCAAGTTCATTGCAGCAAAGAAAAGGGTCTCTTTAGACGACACCCACAGCCTTCTTCCCTTCTTTTTTATACATTTCTCTAGGTATGAATTTATATCTATATGTATTCAAAGAAAGGTTGGTCTATAGGTTTATTGCTTGAAGTTATTATTACAGATAATTTAAAAAATAACAACAAGAAATCCAGAGGAGAGAGGTAACGGGCCTTGGTCCCAAGGCACAGTGAAGACAGCATGATGGCCTTGGGGCCCTGAAAAATGGAAGCCATTCTTTGTTAAATGGGTATCTTTATTTGGGAGACAGGCCCTTCAAGGGGCAGGACAGGCACTCTACAGTTTATGGTATGGATCTAGAAGAATTTTCACTCCAATAATTTTGATTATTGTAGGGTATAACTCTTTTCTTAAAAAATGCTATTTTGATAATGATTTGTACAAGTATCACCCTGGAAAAGCAACACAATACAAGGGAAGCCAGCCTCAAACACCAATGCCACTGCCCAGTCTCTCTGTTCTCAGGTCTGTCAGCCCGGAGTCTTCTATCCCTTAGCAAGCTCTGGTCTGTGAGCAAGAATCAGCTTTCTGTTACTCCAGCCCAATGGTTCTCAGCCTTCCTTCCTGATGCTGCCACCCTTTAATTCCCATGCTGTAGCAACTCCCAACCATAGAACTGTTGTTGATACTTCATATCTGTAGTTTTGCTACTGCCATGGGCTGTAATGTAAATCTCTATGTTTTTCGATGGTTGTTTGGGGGTCACGACTCACAGGTTGAGAACCACTCATTGTTCTAGTTCAAGGGGAGATTATACTCAACTTCACTGTGTATCTGACCTCCTGTGAATATGCCATCTACACAGTAAACTGCAATTAGAAGTAGAAGCCCAGCAAATGTTCACTACAAGTAATGACAACACACGTAGTTGATGAAATAGTGAGTACTATGCTACTTGTGGGCAATGGCACGGGATGTAAAGGAAAATCATACTGCTGGAATAAAATTCATACAGGGCAAATGAGATCAGGGACTACACTGTCTTCAGAAAACACAATGACATTCTTTAAAGGCAGGCTATACGCAGACTTCCACACTGTAATAGAGATCTGAAAACCCCCTGACCTCTGCCTGTCTGGATCCTAGAAGACCTAGTTGGGAATGTGACATGACAATAGATAATTATCATTTGTTCACTCACTGCCTATTATGGGCTAGCTGTTAGAGCCTTTCTTATTCCATTAAATTTAATCCCTTTACCACTTGTGCCCATTATTGACACTTGACATATCAAGCAGGTTGTGCCTTCCCAAGGATGTCTCCGACTCTACAGCACATGCTCTGTTTACTACATCTCAATCCTGTTGGACAGAGGAAAAAATGCAAATGAAGGAGGCCAGCCCAGTGACTACCTGTTACAAGTCTGTGAACGCATTTAGTACTTAGAACAATGGACAGCAAGCATGGACGAGGCCAGCTCTCCTTAGTGCATGCACTATTAGTAGGAATGCAGGCAGGCAGGGTTAGGGTGACTGGTTAGTGACAGCCATTAGTGCACAAGTATGATCATAAAGTAGCAAAAATGCTTTGGCCAATCAGTTGCCTTTTCCTTACCATTAAACATTCCAATTTCAGTTCCTACTGAATATGCCAGGTCATACATCTAAATTATTTAATAAAATGCTTAAATTAGAATACTCTTTGCTAAAATCCTCCTGCTTTGCAGAATTACAATGCAAGTTGGACATTTGGAATGACTCAGAATCCTTTCCTTCTCCTGAGCTCTGATACTGAACTTTGGGGAGGGGAGTGGACTATCAAGTCAGTTTGGCAGCATGTTTTGCCCACAAGCATTCACCTTAGTCCCTTTAGCCCTACTCCAGCTCTTTACAATTAAATAACCCAAATGGGAGAGATGTTTTCGGGAATCTTCCCGAAGTTCTCCAAGCTAAAGCATGTCATAATAAAGACTGTGCTGCTCTTCCTTTTCCTTGAAAATCCTAGGCTATAATCAGAAGAGTCACTAACAACATGATTGATGCTAGGGGATTCCTAAATTCCAAATGCTGGCCTTCTGTACATTTCCAAGGGCAGGCCAGGAGAGGTTAAGATACTTTCGGTTAATGCTAAAATAATACAAAGGAAATGACTGAGACCTAGTATGAAGAAAATTTATAGTAAAGATTTAAAAAAACAGGTAACACCTTAGATCATTTAAAGGTAAAATTCACCTATCTAATTATAAAGTATAGTGAATAACAAATCAGGACAATATTTTTGGCATAAAACCACAGGTGACCATGGTATTACAGAACAGACATATCTGCAAAACATACCTGGTTTGCAGTTTCCTTTCTAGTCTAAATAAAAGGATAGGACTGAGTAAAATTTTGGTGTCTTAAGTATTAAAGTGTTGAAAGGCTCAGTCTTAACTAAAGTTGTCACTCAACTACTGGACAGCAGATGGATGCATATGTCCTCCTCCATCATTTCAACTTGAACTAAACTGTGAACACTCACAGTACATATCCTACAAAAGGCTAAGGGCTCTAATTAAAGCAACTGTACCATAAAGGAGCCTTCTGCTTGCCTAATATGTGCCCAAAGATATGTTCAGATGAGGCCCATTGTTTTAAATGCCCTATGTAGCTTAGGAAAGCAAAATGTAAGCACACAGGAATGCAATGGGGCTTAAAGGGAGTTCAGGGGAGGATTATTTGGGGGAAGTTTGGAGGGGGCTGAGAATTTTAGATATCAATTATGAAGCTCCATGCAGTTACCTTGCATTTAAAATACAAAATTAAAAATTAAAGCACAAAACACAGGGATACCCAGATTTCTGTGCTGATGATACCCTGGTCCTCTTTTGTTGGATGCTGATAAGCCAGTGACAGACGAAATGATACCAAGAAGAGCAGAACACTGGGAGAAGCTTACCCAAACAAAAGTGAAACAACATAGCATCTTACTGAGCCAGGCTTCAAACTGAGATCTTGGCTTAGGGACAGCTACCTCTTAGACTTGGGGCAAAGCTTAAAGTGCTTCTGATGGAACAAAAGGCATACTGATACACTACAGAATGGATGGCTGACTGATGGCCATGGCATGGGGTCAAATGGCCACCCTGAGCACAAAGTCAAAAAGCACATACACAGAACATGGCTAAGCAGGAGCATTTGCAGCTGCAGTTCAAGCTGCTGAGGGTTACAGACCTTAGTTCTGGAAACCTTCCCCACCTGTGAGGGCACTGGGAAGGGCATCTAGTGGGAAACAAACAGCAAATAAACCAACATGGCTTCATGCTAATCAAATAAACATCCTGCTGTCATAGGAACAGTTATTAACTACTGATAACATATGTTAAACTGAGCATTGTACTCCTGGAAAAAGATCTTTCTGTAGTTAGTTAACTATTATTTTGGACACAGTGTTAGATTGTCATCTGTTGAGGACACTTGTGAGGACTAAAGAACTAAAGGTACAGATCAGTGGCTTCTCCTAACATGCTTCCATATGGGACAACCCACAGCTAGGCTGTTGTAATTAAAAGCAAGCTGCTGTTAAGAGATGATGCACAGCCCAAATGACCATTCCTTCTCAAATTAAATAGGAAAGTCCAGTACCCACAGTAGAAATATTCTTGAAATAATTAAATAAAATGATAGTGTTTTATAGGCTATCTATAAAAACATCGTAAGAGGTAGCACTACAATATATAACCAACCCCATGCCTGGGGCAGATCCAAGGGGATGATGGGAAAATCTGTACTCATCCCTGCCAAGCCATTTGAGGCTAGCACAGTGATATGATCTGCTTGTGAGATCTGCCTTCCCGGAGCACCTGATTTAGCGTACATGGCACTTTCTACCTCTCCCGCTTCTGAAATTCTACACTTAGTATGTGCATCTTTAACTTTTAGAATAGTAAGTCCAGGAGGGCCTGGAACTTGCTTTGTAGATGAGGCTCCCGATCCTCCTGTCTCCAAGTATGGGCCACCAGGAAGGAATTCATTGTGAACTCCATGCCCATGTCGTATAATACCTTCTTCCTTGACTTAAAACACATTAGATTTTCCAGTATGTGAATGAAGACAATCTTACACCCAGAAGTAAACTGCAGGCTTTATGATCTGTGCAACCGGTATTCATCTCTGCTGTTGGCATAAAAGCAGCTGCAAACAGCTTGAAGGAGCAGGTGTGACTGAGCTCCCAACATGTATGAGCTGCACCTGGTTTAGGGGTGACTCCCCTCAAGGAAAACCTGAGGGAACACTGGGCCCCTTGCTACTCACCAGTAACAATTCTGGAGGCTGTGGGTGCTGCAAGGCTGCTATCCCCTGCGTGGGCACCAGGCGGATGCGGGGGTGGCGGCACACTAGGCCGGTTACGGGGCTTGGGCACCGGCCGCTGCCTTGGGAGGGTCCCATGCTGCTGTGTGGTCTCACTATGCGAGGGATTCTGCTTGGCCAAGGGCGGGGTGCTGGGTGGTGTGGGAGTTTGCGGTGGCGTGGGCCCCGGCTCTGGTCCCTGCTCTCCCAGCCGGGGTTGTGTAGGGGGTTGCGGTGGTGGGTGGCTGGGTGCCTGGATGGGAGGCAGGCTGCTGGAGCTGCGGCGTGTGCCCGGGGCCTGCTGCGGGGGTGGCGATGGGCTGCGTGTGTTCGGCTTTGGGGATGTTCCTGTGCCTGGAGAGCTCTGACCCCCAGGGTGGCCAGGAGGTGGGTTTCCTGGTTTTGGGGGTGCTGGGGCAGGTTTCTTCACAGCTGCATAGAAGAGTGAAAACAGGTTCAGTAAGGGGGGTGTGTGTGGCTCAGCAGGACCTCCTTGCCCCCCACTCCCACTGTGGGACTGGCTACATATATGCACAGTGGGCCTTTCCCATACATCTCATGTCCATCCCAGATGCTCACTGTGGGATTGGCTCAAAGTGGAGAATGGAAACCCAGAGCAGGCTGGTTTTTAAGCAATCACATACCTAGGAAGTGATGAACAGATTCAAACCTGTTATGCAGCCTCCTTGTTTTTTTTTTTTCCCTCTTTCCCACACTGCTTCTCTTTCTATTTACAGGGCCCGGAATCCAAGTGGCCATGGCCGCTGCTCTGCTAAACTGGCCTACAACTCTGAGCCCAGCCACTCAGAAGACCCTTTCCCCACTGAGACAACCAGTCTTCTTACAAAAGGAAAGCTCTCTGAGAAATCAGTTACACTCTGGCTGATGTAAGCATGAGATGAAGGGGAAAAAGTCTGGCCTTCTGCTCTAAGCAGTACTAACTGTAAACTCACACTGAAGGAAAACTCATGCTTGACATTTACAGTGCAGGAGACTCTGGAGAAGCAGCCTGAGAACAATGCACAGGGCGGTAGGGCCCAAGGCAGGGCTAGAGTAAAAAGGGTCTTGTCTGGGACCATGGAGGTGCTGGGATGCTGTGAGGAGATCTGGGTGCTATGGAGCCAGCTCTCTGAAAGCAGAGCTACTGCTGAGCTCAGGTAGGGAAGACTATAATCAGGACTGAAGGACAGGACAGCAGTAAGGACAAAATGGGGGCCTGTAACCACACCAGCACTGCCTAAAATATGCATTAATGTATATTCACATTTGTGGTGTGCTTTAGAAAAAGGATAGATGGATGGATGGATGGATGGATGGATAGATAGATATACGATGCCATAGGGGAGGAGAGTGGCACAAATCTGTAATCCCAGCACTCAGGAGGCTGAGGCTGGAGCACACTGAGTGTGTGAGGCTAGCCTGGGTTACACAGTGAGACCCCATCTCAATACTTGAAACGCTCCTCCTCCTCCTATGTCTTGCCTCTCCTCGTATTTTTACTTCTCTATATACATGCAGGATACACTAGTAAAGGTCAAGCTAGCATCATGTAACAAGTGTGTATCTTTGGCTAAAGCCAAAACACATACTTTGGAGTCCAGAGCCTTTTTTCTCTTCTACAACGAATGGCCTTGCATTAGGGGTGGCATCAAAGACACAGGCCAGACCTCCTGCATTCCTTTCCTGTGGCCACTGCTGGCTGTCATGGGTCACTGCAATGGTGTAGTTGGCCTTTCTGACTACACTGCCTGTGCACTAACTGCCTGTTATCTCCTCACCTCACCCCAAGCAGCTCTTCTGTTTAGCTGCCCTGATTCAGAGTTCAATTAGCTTTGTGGTGACAACATTCTGACCCTCTCCAACCTGCTCTCCTTACTTCTTACCACAGAGTCTGGATGCCTCTCACAAGTAGTCAGTCCTGCATCCCTCGTGTTCCCCATTACAGCATGGTGCCAGAGACATGTGCTTACCCTTGTATGTGAGAGTCAAGTGACAAGAGCATAGCCAGAAGGAAAGCAAGCAGAGCAGCCTGCTTGCAGTTCCTGGAGCCCTAGCAGCCCACATGCCTGAGTGTGAGCATCTCACATGTGAACACACACAGTTAAGTCACCACCCGAAGAACTGAGATCTAGTGAGAGAAGAGGTTCTCACAGTTGTCATGTATTGCTCTAAGGGCCTGCTCCTGGGCAAAGTGCTTCAACTTCTCTGGAAACATGGTGGTTCCTCTCTTCTCTTAACTCGCCTCTCCCCGGGGGCCAATATGCACACTCTCATGAGCATATACGCAAGAAGTCCAGCCAATATTACTACAGGCCAAGTGCTATGATTTCAGTTCCCCGCCTCCGGTCTGTGTGTTAGATCCTAACTCTTGGTGGCAATGTTGGGAGACAAGGCCTAGTGGGAGGCCTGAGGAGGAGCCTCACGAACGGGTTCTTGCTTTCTGGAAGGAATAGGTGCACTATGGCTGGAGTCTGGCACTCTTCCGCAGCACCCTTTCCTTCTGCTTTGCACAAGGCCCTCACCATAAGCTGAGCAGAGACAGCACCTCGTCACTCTTGGATGTCCCAGCCTCCAGGACTATAAACCCAAAGAAATCTCTTTTGTTTATAAGTTAGACAGTCTCTGTCCTAACACCCAGTTATCCTGGTGGCCCATGGGCGTGACTTCCCTGGTGTACCATGTCTACACCGTCCTCAACCCTCCTACCTGAAGGTTTTCCAATGGAAAAGGACTGTCTTTCCCTAGTCCTAATTTCAAAGAGATGTAAAAAAAAAAAAAAAAAAAAAAAAAAAAAAAAAATGCATACCCAGAAACATATGCTCCACACGTGTCCCTTGCTATGATAAATTCACTGTTTCTTGGTAACCAGAATTACAAGACACCGTGAGGTGAGGATCTTTCATACTCTGGTAAACATTGTAGGGAACATAGGACAGGTCAACATGGAATTTAACTAGCCTGACCTTGAGTAAGAGGTGTGGTTTCCTGGCACATCTTTATCGGAACATGTCACTTTCTAAACTGGTTTCTCCACTTCAGCACCATTAACAGATGGGTGGCAATTTACTTCAGAAGCCTGTACACTATGAGTGCTTACTAGCAACCCTGGCCTTTGTCCTCAAAATGGTTGTCATCTCTCTCCTTTTGTGGTAATGAGAAACAACTAAAAACATCAACAAAGGTTCAGAGTCTGGGACTGTGGTGTTTTGAATGAGAAAGGTCCCCACAGGCTCCTGTGTTTGACTGCTTAGTCACCAGTTAGTGGAACTGTTTGAAGGACTGGGAGGCGTGGCCTTATTGGAGAAGGTGTGTCATTGGCAGTGGATTTTGAGGTTTCAAAAGCCCACCCCAGGCCGTGTGTGTGTGTGTGTGTGTGTGTGTGTGTGTGTGTGTGTGTGTGTGTGTGTCTGTCTGTCTGTCTGTCTGTCTATCTGTCTGCTGCCTGTAAATCAGGATGTAAAACTCTCAGCCATTGCTCCGGCACCATGGCCCATCTGCTCCCTGCTATGATAACCATGGACTAACCCTTTGAAACTTAAGCATGCCCTCAAGTCAATGCTTTCTCCTGTAAGAACTGCCTCGATCATGGTGTCACCGCACAGTAACGATATGTGCCTGTGGTAGAGATGGGGTTTGGAGACATGGCTTCTGTTTGAAAGCAACAACCCTGGCTGCTGGGTTGAGGAGGGCAAAGAAGACAGGTGGGAGCTGTTTAGATTATGTTACTCCAAAACCAGAAAACCCTGAGCCATGTAGCTCTGGCTCACAAAGCTAAGTAGCCGAAGTTTCGGTGGCTCCCAAACACAGCAAGGCTTAGAACACCAAATCCCTAGAAACTCAGGAGAGACTGCAGAACTCTTTCTGCAGTTAAGTTTTACAGTTCCTGCATTTTTTTTTTTTCCCCAATGTTTTTTCCTCTTTAATGACTGATTTTCCTGCCTGTTATTTGGTAACAGTCATGAAAAAGGTTTCTCAGGGCTTTTACAACAGAGTCCTTGCAGTAACTGCAGGAAGTTCTTCCACCCCCCCTCCCCACCCACCCACACAAGGAGTGCAGATCACTTACCTCGACGCAGAGTGTGAGGGCTGGGACCAGCTGCACTGAGAGGTGTGCCCACTGAGAGCTGATGGGAGCTGCCACCTGCCTGGGCCTGGCTTGGGCCTGTGGTCACCTGGGTGTTGTTTCTTCCTGGTGCAGGGACAGCTGCAGACACAGAGTCTTTGGGTTTTGGAGGACTGAGAGAAGTAAAGGTAAAGTTAGATGTCAGACATTCCCTGGTGTAAAAGCTAAACACTCCATAAAATACAGTTGTTCCTTGGGATGGGATTTAGAGGTGGGAAGTTCCAGGACTTCTTACAGATACCAAAAGTCAAGGATACTCAAGCCTTGTATGGAAAATGGCATTAAAACCTAACTGTCAGCACCTTTCTGTGTACTTTAACTCTTCTATTTTTGGTTGTCAGCCTAGCCTTTAACAGCTGAGCCATCTCTCCAGCCCAAGTTAACTCTCATAATAACCAATACAGTAGAAGAGCTATAGGCTGTATTGTCTGGAGAATGGCAAACAAAAAGTGTTCGATACAGTGGTTTTTGTTTTTAAGATGTGTATGTGCATGTATGTGTGTGCGCGCCCGCTTGCCAAATGTGTGCAGGTACTCAGAGATGCTAGAAGACTACAGTTACAGGTAGTTGCAAGCCTGTGGGTCCTGGGAACTGAACTCTTATTCTTTGGAAGAGCAACAAATAAATTTTTTTTCACCACTAAGCCTTCTTTTCAGACCTATAGAAACAGTTTTGAAATATTATCTGAACCACAGTCAGCTGGATCTGTGGATACCCAGGGAGATGAGGGTTATTTGAAATTTTAAATAGTCTGCACTGGGCTAGTAAGCTGATATTTACTCATAGACTAGACATTTTGAGATTCCCTGCAATAGACTAAGTTTCAGCTACTCTGTCACAGAAATTAAGGCCAGTCATTTCAGAGCATCCACAGGAAACCTTGAGTTCTGTTTTGCATGTACTTAAACTGGGCATTATTTTATGAAAATAAGCCTTGGGGATTTTTGCTAGCTATTGTACAAAATGAACACTGACTAACAAGGGCTTAACTAGCATCAGTTATCTGGACTGGGAGGAGAGAAACTCTGAGCAGCTGCTCGATGACTCAGTCTAAAGCTGACGGCAGCAGGAAAGGAGCATTGCAATTCAGGCTTCCTACTTCTTGGTTCACAACTTTCTATACCAAATATTACAATTGTTTTGTCAAGGCCACCAAAGGGCAGATGTGAAGTGTGCACAAAAACATCTCAAGCATAAAAAAACAAAAAGAGACATTCCAAAAGGTTGACATTCCCTTCCTCTTTCTGCAGTGCAGACTAACTACTTTCTTAAATATTTAGCTTTGGTTAAACAAACTGAATGTCATGAGGAAATGAAGATGTGTGCATTTGCCTATACTCTCTGACACAAACAAACAAAAAAATATTCACCCTAAAACCAAGCCACAGATGGAAGAGTGGTCACTAACAAGCCAGCACAGTACCTACAGCACATGCATGAAGCCTGGCCCTGGCCAAGGGCAAAGCTTGAGAGTTCTTGACTGAAGATGAACTCCCCCAGCTGATGAGAATCGAGGACTCGGGAATGCACAGAGTCCAGCTATGGTAACAGAGTAAGAGTCCAACTTGTGCTTCTCTTTCTCTCTGATGTCTTCTCCCACACCACAGTAAGTGCTCTGCCCTGAGCTATATCCTCAGCCCCGTGTTTTAGTTTTTACTTTGAGACAAAGTCACTGTTGCCCAGACAGGATCTGAACTTATGATCCTCCCAAGTAACTGGGACTATAGGCCACTTTATCATATTCCTATTTTAACAACAGCTTCACTTCCCTCAACCAAAAACATGCAATGAGAGTTCTCCAAGAAAAATTCATCTGAACATGGTAAACTATGCCTGGGTAAATAGGTTTTGTTTTGTGCACATTTACTTTACCTCATATGTGATCACATGGCACTGAGTAGATGGCCAAAGATGAGGATTAAAACAATGACAATTAAAACTTTGGCACTCTTTGGATGGCTCATCTTCTACAGAGCCATGGGTTCTGAACCAGAGAAAACCGTGGCCTCTCCCTGGTCAGCACACAGAACTGGATGATACCAACAGAATGAAAATCTCCAATCCGAAGGTGTCTCCTCTTAAAGGTGACCTATTGTGAAGCCAAACTCCCAGTGGCAAGTCAAAGGATCAAGTGACTGACCCATGTGTCAGCTCCCTGTTAAATTGAAGGTCCTGAGTAGTGGAGGGATTCTTAGTCACCATTGTGCTATTGGCCTGGTACAACAGCAGCTACTTGGTCAATCTGTACAAATGAATGAGCGAATGGATGACAAATGCCAAGAATACTGTGACTCAAATAGCTCACTGCTTTCAAATGCTTCCTAGGTAGCACACTGAACAATAACAGGCAAATTACACATGAACACCGACAGTTACACACCGAAGAGGCTAAGCACACCATTAGACACCTGTTAGTCTCTACTTTCCAGCATCAAAGCATACAAACAAGTGTTGCTTTCGTCTGAAAACAGAAAAGCAAACAAGCAATTTGCGGTCTTTTCTCCCCACTAATCAAGGCATGAAAGCAAATCTTTGCCACTATATTCTTTGGGCATGGCTACCACACCAAAGACTGCTACCTGGAAGAAGGCAGGGGCATCTAGCCTTGACTGCCAGCAGAAGTGGGCTCCTTACCTGCTGTCACCCGGGCTCAGCCCCTGCTCCAATATGCCTGCAGAAGAGGGGACAGGCCCACCCCCTGAGCTGCTGTCAGACCTAGAGCTCTGAGAAGGAGCCTCTGGGCCTGCTGGAGCCAAGGCGTTGCCATCTGTGGGCGGGAGAGGCGGCTGGAAAGCAGGGGATATGTGCTTTCTAGTTAGAGTGCCACCCCGCCGGTGGGCCTGGAAGTCCATAAGCTTCACACCAAAGCTACACAGAGAGAAGAAATAGTCAACACACCACACAAGCCAACCAAAGAGACAGAAGCCCGCTGGTTCTCATAGGTTAAAACCACAAATGGGACAGCCGCCCACGTTGCCCCAGCATGCAGTTAAATGGCAAGGTTGTGTCAGTGGTCGTCCCAGTAACCAAAGTGAGTGTTTGGATCTGGCTTTAAACCTTAGGAAAGCCAGCACCTCACACTGATCAGGTTGGTGTGTGCAGCTGAAAGCAAACAAGCAAGCCTCATGTTGAGAGACACGGTGTCCTGTGATGGATTCCCATCTCAAACCTGTGTGTGGAGAGGAGAGGGAAGCCAAGCCCAGAAGCATACTAGTGCTGGCACGGGAAATGGAAGCATTCAATGTGTGCATGAGGACACAGCTGAAAGCTACATATGACTGAAAAAAATAGTTGTTTTTGGGAGGGTAGCATCTGGACAATGGGGCAGAAGGAAAACACTCTTCATTTTAGTGCATGGACTTTAAAACCTTTTTTTTTTTTTTTTTTAAGTTTGGAAAATTAAAAGATACTGGGCTCCATTAACTGATATTTATTGGAGAACAGACAGAGCAGACAGCTGAGAATGGTGTGTCATGGGCTAGTGAGACTTATCACATGTTGTAACTTAAATTCAGGGAACTAACTGTTCTAATAGGCTACCAGGGAACAATGGTAAGGCCCTGAATGATGCTCAGGTATCTGAACTCAATTATAAAGGATGATGGTAAATTTCAGAGTGAGAGATTGGGGGGTGGGGATGCCTTCAACAAGAGAAGCCTACTGTGAGACAACAAGAAGCCTGGCAACCCTGTCACATGTATGAAGACAGTGTGTTGCTCCACACAGTGCTTCTGTGGAGCTACTGTAAGTTGCTACCATTTTCCTCACACAGGGATGAGTTGCCCTCTAAAGGCAAGGATCAGACATGGTCTAAAATAGCACTGAATATCTCATAAATTGCTCATAGACAATAGGATGGAAACATGTTGCCTCTAAATTTAAAACATACATTTCCTCCCTCCAGAACTGTCAAATTCTGGGGCTTCTCCAGTAAAATGCTGAATCAGCAGTTAGCAAATATACCAAGGCCAAGTTATGCCAAAAACTGTTTCTTCACAGCTTACTGGGAAATGTGGTTGTCCTTATAAGATCCTCAGCCAAAATCACATGTGTTAATGATGCTTTTCTCATATCCTAACACTCAAATACATTTAGGTGGGTTAGTATGTGTGACACCATTCCATTGTGGGGCATATAATGGCATTAAGTAAAGCCTGATGCACAAGGCATGGATATTAGTAGACAATCTAACCCTCATCCACCTTTGTGGTCAGATTAATGTCTGTAGAGACTGACAGTGGTTTCTGAATTATCTAGAATCTGTAAGGCAGGATTACACAGGGGGCCTTTAAGCCAGTACCAGATCCATGGGTCAAATGTCCTCCTACATGATACCTACTACTTCTGAGGAAGTGACTAACTCTACACATACCTCTCCTTCTTCACCAAGTCCCCTTCCATCACCGCCATGCTGGCTGGTCGCTTCCTCTCCAGGGTCCCCGAGTCAGAGTCATTTCCAGTGTGGGTTGAGTGATTAGAATTTGGGGTAACAAGAGGAACAAATGCTTCTGACACATTGAATTCTATCTCTGTCATAAGAGAAATAAATAAATGTGAGAACGAGAGCCTCCATAATCCACAAGGGCAGCTCAAGCACTTTCATCTGATGAATGGATCCTGACCCCCATGGGAGGCAAGCCAAGAAAAGCCAGCTGAGCACACAGCTCTACTGCTCTTAAGAGAACTCCAAGAATTCAGAAAGGGACAAGGAGCATGGAGAACTTACTGAATCATTTAAAAAGTGACAGAAATATTTGATATAAAATAGAAATGAAAGGCATCATCAAAGGCTCATTGTTTATAGCTCTTTTCTTTTTAAGAATCACTTTCTTGAAGGAAATCACAGGCAGCACGTCAATCTTCATTTTCCTGCCCACCTTCACTAAACATCAGCAATGAATGATTCTCCAGGACAGGAAGACAGAAGAGAAGAACTGAACCCAACCTGACTTCACAAACCAGCTCCAACTAGCTCTAGCCTTGCTGCTTTATTTTATATCTTTGCACAAAGCAAACAACTATGTAGACAGAGTCAGGAAGAAAACCTGTTCTAAGGGACGGCCTCTGTGTAGTCAGCTTCACTCCTGAAAACAGATCCTGGCTCCTTTTTCCCAGCACCGAGTTCATCAAACATTTCACTCCCCAACATCCTAATTTGTTAAGTTTATCTGTTGATGTGGCTGCCTTCTCAGGGAACCTATGTTTTTTCAGAGAAGACATGCAATCATAGCAACTATTGAGCACTTAATATATACTATATAGATATGGTTTTCTGTTTGTTCGGTTTTGTTTTTTTGAGACAGGGTTTCTCTGTAGCTTGGAAGCCTGTCCTGGAACTAACTCTATATGCCAGGCTGGCCTTGAACTCACAGAGATCTGCCTGCCTCTGCCTCCTGAGTGTTGGGATTAAAGCCCAGCCCTGAATATGTTTTAATGAAGCTAAGGGAATGGAAAATAATATTAATTATCATTATATCAAAATAAAAATGGACATTAATGAAACTTAAAGTGAAGTGTGAAAAAGTGAAACCAATTACATAATCATTAACATGTTTTCTTCTTTCAAAAAATGTGGTATACTACTATTACATAGCTTTAGCAATCTATGAGCCAGGAACCAGGATTACCTCCAGGGAAGAACCAATCTGCATGCTGGATGATAGGTTCAATCACCGCGACCACGTGGACAGAAGTGGCAGCTGCTATTTCAGCCAGTGTTCTGCAAGGAAGTTCACACAATTAAATTTCTGCAAGCTGCCAGGGCATCTCAAAGATTACTTATGTATAAGATATTTACATACAGATACAAAAATTAAACCCACAGGCCCTATCCCATGAGTGCCTGTAATGGCCCAAGAGGAAAAATTATCCAACTACTATCAATCCTTTCCCAGCAGAGTGGTAACCACCACCATGTCCACGCATGGCCACGAGGGCAGTGACACCAGGGTTTCAAGCTGATTGAAATAGGACTTGCATTTCCACACTGCAACAGTAGCGCACATACATACATACATACATACATACATACATACATACATACACACACACACACACACACACACACACACACACACACACACACACAGAGTACAAACACGTATCTAACTATTCACCATACAGGGGCTGCTAAGCTGTTTGACTGCTCAGGAGTGGAGGCTCTCTTAGGACAGGGACAATGTCTCCTCTGTCTCTTTGTCTCCTGCACAGAACCAACAGAGTCCACAGCTGTGTCCTCAAAGCATCAGCTGGAAGAGGCAACTTTGGAACACCCTGAAGTCACCTCCAGTCTCAGTGTGTCTCTTGAACTCCATTGCTACCCATGCTGATCGCCAGAAAGGAGAAGCTGAAGTATGAGATGGAGAAGACTCACTTACCCTTCTTGTTTGGCCCACAACAGGTTAGGGCCCAGCACAATGGCAATGTTGCTAGGAGTCATTTTATTAACGTCACTGGTCTGGGCAAGCTTTGCAAGAAACTTGATTAAATACCTAGAGACAAAGCAGAAGGACAGGAGCATCACCGAAACAGTGCGAGTGTTCCTGCTCTCACAGTGGCTCAGTTACTCACTACTGGCCATCGATGAACTGGGACCCAGCTCTCAGAGTGGGCTGCTCACACTTTATTCAAAACAGACTACTGAAGGCTTGGAAGGAGAAAACAGGTCCAATATCATCACATGGATTTAACCATACCAATTTCTAATTTATTTTTCTTTTATAGTCTATTTCCTTTACCCCTACATTAATTACACTGTGATTAATAGTGGGATTAATATGTTTAGTAATTTTTAAAAAATTAAACTGTGTTTGAAAATGAAACATGAACAACCAAGGTACCTATCAACAAGGAACAGGTTAGGTAAAGTATAGGCTACCTTGATCTATAGTAGAGTACTATGCAACCACATAAATCATGTAGTTACCAAAAAATCTCCAAGATGTATTAAGCAAGATATGGAGCAAAGCAGGCAAAGGAGAGATGACATACACAATGTATACTATCATCCACGCTAAAAAAAGGCAGCTTCAAGTGAAGGTGGAGGTGGGAATGGGGTGGGTATAACCACAATGCATCATATACATATATGAAATTCTCAAATATGAACATGTTATCTTTAAAAAGTGTGTAATGGGAGAAAAAATATGTATCATGAATGTACTTGCACATAGGCACACACACACACACACATGCACACACAGAGGCTCTTGTAGACTAGACAGATACTGGAGAAACTGTAGATTCTGTATCTTAGAAGAACTAGATGGCTGGGACAAGAGAGTTTTCAATGTCTAGCTTTTGAACTTGGTACCATCACAAGGTTATTAAAGGTTACAGAGAAAAGGAAGCAAACCAAAAGGCCAAACCCAACACTCTAAGGATTGTAACTGAGTTCCCACATCACACTAAATAAATTTCCATTCTCTGCCGTTCTGAGCCAGGTGTGTTACACGTTATCAAGGAGGAACATTACAGATGCTAGCAGCTCACAAGGCAAAGCCAATCCTTTAGATGTGGAGAGGGAGTATCGGCTGCAGCTGAGATAAAGACCAAAACCAAGCTTAAGTCAGGTAATATTTCACACAAATCACCTGCAAAGTGGATTGTAAACAAATCTCTTAAGAAAGGTTTGTTTTTAAATTTTAATTACATTTATTCCTGTGTGTGTATTAGAGAGAAAGACAAGTGAGGAGAGAGGGGGACACAAATGGACACATCTTGCAGAAGCCAATCCTCTCTTTCTTGTGGGTCCTAGGAACTCAACTCAGCTTGTCAGGCTCAGCAGCCCGGACCCTTTGCTTGGTTTTAACTGACAATTCCCTGGGGCTACTTTTCCTCTACACATCTTCCAGGTTATAGAAGTTCAATGGAAAACCGCAGTCCCAGAAGGTTGTCCCATAGGAAGTTTTCTTAGAGAGATTATTTAGTAATGTAATGAAATACAATCTCCACAGTGACTTGAGCACTATTTTATATGAAAGGGTAGAGTATAGAACAGTTAACTACTGATTAACTGTGCATTTACATAAGGACAGTTCAGACTCCAAACACAACATACAGACAGCCACTGAAGCTTCTCACAGCAGTTTTTGCTAACAGCTGCAGTGTCCTAAATGATCAGACCATCTACACATCAACATCACCTACAGACTAGTGCACAGCAATGCATGCACACCCACACCATCCCAGCAGCTCCACATTATTCAGCAATCACATACACTCTGATGGCTAATTTGATGTCAAGTTTACACACCCGGGAAGAGGTAACAACTGAGGAAAAGCATCTATCAGACTGGCCTGTGGGCACGTCTAGAGTGCTTTTTCTTGATTAATTCTGATGCCGGAGGGACCAGCCTACTGTAGATGTGCCATCCTTGGGTAGTTAACCCAGGCTGTGTGATAGCTAAGCATTAAGGCTGGGGTAAGCATGAACCACTGTCTTCCACAGTCTTTCCTTCAGTCTGTGCCTCCAGGTTCCTGTCCTGAGTCCTTCCCTCGATGATGGATCATAACCTTAAAGACAAACCCTTTCCCTCCCCAAGTAGCTTTTGATTATGATGTTTATCACAGCAACAGAAAAGCAAACACAAACACATACCTAAAGTTAACAAAATTTTGTGGTGGCAACTTCTGACACGTAGTCCATAAATATTGAAGTTTTTTGTCTTGATCCTGCACACTAGGAAAGAAACATATACAAGAACTTACAAAAGCACACATTATTAATACCCATATTAATGTGATATTATAGCACCTGCGCTAAATAGCAACTGTCTGTCAGAGGCACCTGTACTAAAGGCTTGATTGACAGTCTATGGTAATAGCAGGAAATGGCTGAAACCTTCCTGAAGAAGGGTGCAGTTGGAAGACTTGGATCCTAGAGGGAAATGTTAGGAACCCAGTTTCTACCTGTGTTCTGCTTGCCAGCATGAGGCAAACATGCTTCTACCACCATAATGTATGGCATAGCCACAAGCCTCAAGCCACAGGAAATGAACCTCTGAATCTAATAGCCACAATAAACTTTCCCTCCTTTAAGCAGATTATGTCACATATTTCTTACAGGAGAAAGCTAACGCAAGAGAGCACTGATTTGGGAAATAAACAGATCTGGAGTCAAATCCCAGTTCCGCACTATCTGACTTCAAGCAGGTACTTCATCTCACCAAGCTTTACAGGACAGGGGAAGAATGTTGAGGCAGAATCCTGTGAAATCACCATGCCCCAAGCTTGGCACAAGCAGTCACCACTGAAAATTCTGTTTAGGAATGCATATATTAATTAGCAACATTATGAAGCCTAGCTTTCCTTAAGAGAAAGGCAACCTAATCATAGATCTACTGTCAAGCCCCCAGGAGACCTCAGGTCTCTCTTGCTGTCAACTCTGCTCCAAAGCTCCAGTCTGGGACCAATTCCAGTTACAAGAGCTCTGGTTCTACACAGCTTTGACATACAAACTTCCACAAACACAAGACGGGAAGAACCCAAAGAGCAACAATTCTGTCCTCTTTGTGTAGCAGGTGTCCAGGATGCCGCAGAGTTGGAGAACAGGGGGGACATCTGATTATACTTCAGAGGCCAGCCATCAAACCAACAAGATGGCTTTTTTTTTTTTTTTAAACATTCTTCAACTACCGTATCTATCTGCCAGCAGACAGATGCCTTCTCCTTAAGGAAAAATTTTAGAGTCTAGGAACCTAGAAGAGTTAGGGTGATGATGCCAACTGTTGATTCAGTTAACTCAGTCCAAGGAAAACTTGTCCTTGACCTTAAAACCTCACCACCTACCAGGGAGAAAGTCTCTTGGTCCACAGTGACTGTAGATCACTGAGAAGCAACACAGTGATCACAAATGTCTCTAGCTAATTGTGGCCAGCTCGGGAGGAGGGTGACAGAGTGAGCTCAAGGGGGAGGGGCAGGAGGGAAGGTGAGACTCCTTCCTTCCTCAGGACTGAAGAATTAGGCAATTAAGAGTGAAGTGAAAGGTAACAAGATCACCTAGCTGGCCAAGGAGAAGCTGACAGCATTTGAAATACACTGTCCTGTTACTAGGCAGGTTGAAGCTGAGGGTGGAGGACAAGATCAAAGAATGGGCAGAGCCTTTGGGGCAGGTAGGTCTTCATGTGGATGGCAGCTCTGACAATTCCTTGGCCCAGCTCCTTCCTAAGCCCAAGTTCCTACATCTGTACAATGAAGATAACAAGAACACAAGCCTATTCTGGATGCTCAATGCTTATTAAGAATGGCAGGAGACAAAGAAAGTGCCAGGTGATGGTGGTGCACACTATTAATCCCAGCACGCAGGAGGCAGGAGGATCTCTGTGAGTTTGAGGCCAGTCTGTCTACAGAGTATCCTAGGAGAGTCAGGGCTGTTAGATAGAGAAACCTTGTCTTGGAAAACAAAAAAACAAAACAAAACAAAACAAAAACTCCAACCAACCAACCAACCAACCAAACAAAAACCCCCAAACAAACAAAGCATGGCAGGAGGGAGTGGGACAAAGCTTAGCACACAGTGGACACTAGGGAAAAACCCAACCCTGCAAGTAAGACTCTTCCTACTTTATTGCTGAACTGGCTGAGCCTGCAAACAGCCAACAGCACCGACAGTTACCCTATAATGCATGCCCCCAACTGCAGAAATGTTTTCACTATAAAGGGGTTTGCGATCAGCCAATTCATTAATGTGGGTGAAGCCACACCAGTTCAAACAAAAGCACAATCTGTGAGCTTTTTTACTAGCAATACTGAGTCTGTTCACTCTGGACGCAGGTAAAACAGGGATACATCCTTATGCATGCTACTTCAGTGTCCCATAATTCCTGAGAGTGCAAGGACTCACAGATGCGGCACAGTATTTCATCGCTGCTCTGAACACTTTAACACTTACCTTGCAACTTGTGTCCATTCTTCATACAGACCGAAAGTCATCAAGGGCTCAGGCAATTCCCGCAAATAAGACTTCAAAGCACCTGAAACCATGAACACATCCTGAGTATGCAGTAGGGGGACAAAGCTGCATCGGTCTGCAAATGAAAGTATCTCACGCAGTCTTTCAAGTGCATAGAACAAACCATAGTTTGGCAGCAATGCTTAGAGAATGAAACCTTGTAAAAGAAATTCAGTTTCTTGCAAAAATACACCAAGAGACTTCTTCTACTTCGGGAAAACACCAAATGGCGGATGACGCCGGTGCAGCGGGAGGGCCCAGAGGACCCGGGGCCCAGGATTAGGAGGCTGCGGCGGCTTCCGCGGAGGCTTGGGCAGTGGTCTCAGGGGCCGCGGTCGTGGTCGAGGCCGTGGGGCTTGTGGAAGTAAAGCCGAAGACAAGGAGTGGGTCCCTGTCACCAAGCTGGGCCGCCTGGTTAAGGACATGAAGATCAAGTCCCTGGAGGAGATCTACCTTTTCTCTCTGCCCATTAAGGAATCCGAGATTATTGACTTTTTCTTGGGGGCATCTCTTAAGGATGAGGTTCTAAAGATCATGCCAGTACAGAAACAGACAAGGGCTGGCCAGCGGACCAGATTCAAGGCTTTTGTTGCTATTGGGGACTACAATGGTCATGTTGGTCTTGGTGTTAAATGCTCCAAGGAGGTAGCCACAGCTATCCGAGGGGCCATCATCTTGGCCAAGCTTTCCATTGTCCCTGTGAGGAGAGGCTACTGGGGGAACAAGATTGGTAAGCCCCACACTGTTCCATGCAAAGTGACAGGCCGCTGTGGCTCTGTGTTGATGCGTCATCCCTGCCCTCAGAGGCACTGGCATCGTCTCTGCTCCTGTGCCCAAGAAGCTACTGATGATGGCCGGTATTGATGACTGCTACACATCAGCCAGGGGCTGCACTGCCACCCTGGGCAACTTTGCCAAGGCCACGTTTGATGCCATCTCTAAGACCTACAGCTACCTGACCCCTGACCTCTGGAAAGAGACTGTGTTCACCAAGTCTCCTTATCAGGAATTCACTGACCATCTTGTGAAAGCCCATATCAGAAGAGTCTCTGTTCAGAGGACCCAGGCTCCAGCTGTTGCCACCACATAAGGGATTTTATACAAGAAAAATAAAGTGAATTAAGTCTGTTTAAAAAAAAAAAAAAAAAAAAAAAAAAAACACACACACCAAGAGAGCAATGGAAAATAAAATTTGCTTTAAAGTAATTCTATTAACATACAAAATTTCTCCAGGCAAATGCAGGTCATGGGTATGACAGGAAGGAAGAAATACATCTTCAAAATAAACACAGGCTACACCTGAGCACAGTATTCACTGAAAAGAAATTTATCTAGCCATGTAAAGCAGTGCTGGCCTCGAGGGTAGAGGTCAAGTAAGGAGGACAACCCCTGGCATTCCAAACAGGGCGCTGTGTTTGTCATAGCTATCTTCTTCATCTTTGCTTAATAACAGCGCGAGGGAAGAGAACCCAGGAAGAAAAGAAAGGTGTACATGTGTGCACACATACAGTGCATGTTAGATTTGACCAGGGAGCCTCTCATTTGACCACTCACCCCTCAAATGGCAACCGCTCTTTCAGCTGGTGATCTGAGCTAAGACTTGCTGGCTACTGAGGACAGCTAGGCTTGCAACAGTCCTTGGACCTCACCTGCTACAGCATGGGGGTCTGAATAGAATTCATCCAGATGAGATGTGGAGCAGTCCAGAGCAGCTTTCAACTTCTTTAATTTGGAGGCTCCAGCCCCAATCCGAAAAAGACCCTAATGACAATAGAAAGCCAGTAGCATCAAGTCAGAGCTGAGTCTCACCCTGGGGTTGTTTATGAGAGCAGCCACACTGCCCATCTTACACCACCATTCCAAGGACTAAAGAGTGCTGTGTGTGCCTAACACATGGTGACAGGCAGAACACAGACCTTAATGTGAGTTCTTCACCTATGGAAAAGCCCTTTTATTTCACAGTACTGACTAATGACTTCTACATTATCTTATATATTAAAAAAAAAAAAAAAAAAAAAAAAAAGAAGACATCTCAGTTAAAACAGACCAGACTGCACGCCATTTTCTCTGACTTAAATGTGATTTTTAACACACAGAGACTCAACCAAGAGAGGCAGGTTTTATAAAGGACAGTGGACCAGGATTTAGAAGACTTGGGCTTAATTAGTAAGTTAGCAGGCTTTTCAACATTTTATACACCCAGTGACTCTTCAATGGGAATGAGCATCAGGTGGTGGTGGGTGTTGACGACAACCAAGTATTGCTGCTCTCCTGGCAAGCAAAAGCAGGCCCAATTGAGAAGCATGGACAGAGGCTTTTAAAAGTTGAGGTTAGGTACCAGGAACCATGAGAGCTTCCAGGATGCTTTTGATTTGGGCTGGATTAGATGCCAAAGTTTTATCTGTGAAAACTCACTGTGTTGTTCACCTACAGAGCCTTCTTCTGTATGCATGTGAGACATCAACAAAAGATTCTTTTTGTTTCAAGACAGGGTTTCTCTATGTACCTCTGGCTGTCTGGAAGACCACGCTGGCTTCAAACGCCTCTGCTGGGATTATGCTGGGATTAAAGGCATGTGCCATACCATCTGGCTAACAAAATATTCTTTAAAGGACAAAGAATCATGCATTTTGAATGTAGCTCTGCCCTGGCACGAACTCCTTGTATACTTACCTCTATGTAAGAGGAGAAATAAGAGCTGTCCTGCTTGGTTCATGCAGATATTTTTGGTATGGATCATATAAAATACAATATATAAATTTACCCTTTAAAACCACTGCACAATACACACAAATGCAACTGTCATAAACAAGAGCTCATGGACGCTCTCAGCCACCAGAGCATTATCCCAAATCATAAATGGATGGAAAGAGACAAGATGGTGAAAGGCCAGCATGCACTGCAAGCAGAGCAAGTGCACATTGTTCTGGAGGCCCCACCTTTTTACTAAATAAAGATCCATGGACTCATTGGAAAAATGTGGATCATGGGGACAAAGGTTTGAAAACCAATGGTCTACATGTCCACAGTGGCTGTAGAATAAAAGTATGTGTGTGAGGGTGGGTTGGGGGGGTGATATGGACAGAGGGTCATATGATTTGGCAGGTTGGGAACTGGGGTGTCCCTCACCTCCTCCTTCATGCCAGTCTCCAGCAACAACATGACACAGGCCTCAATAGGGAGAGCAATCTCACGCCCACTCCTCTTCAGGTGTTCCTCCAGGGGGGTACCGAAGGCTGGCTTCTCTGCCCACTTATCTAGAGCAGAAAATAGTTTGTAAGGCTGTTGGCCACCTCATGAATTCCTGTGAATTTTCTTTCCGTAGCAGACTAGTGGCTGGGGCTTGGATAGAGGAGAAACACCCAGATATTTGGTAAGCTTCTGTCATTTATCAATTACAAGAGCACAGACCATATCATATATCAGGCCAGGACAACCACTGGGGGACAAAGGATCCTAGCATGGCCTATGGCAAGACTTGACTAAAGGAGATACTGATGGTGGGTGGCTCTGAACCAGCACCACACACCAGTAACATATGTGGAGCCAGAGGCCTTGCATTAAAATGCAGGCTACATCCTAGCACACATACTGTCTTTACTAAAAATAAATTTACTCTAGCTATGGAAATCAGTGCTGGCCTTGTGGTTAGAGGACAAGAAAGAAACTCCATCTCATAAAAGCACAATCCTCAGCATTCTAAACAGGTGCCATGTTTGTCACAGACCAAAAAGGGTCAAGGTGAACTCAAAGTAGGTTACACACTATGACATGCAATACTGTCCACCAATCTATATCCAGTTTAAAACTCTCTGAGGAGAAAAGCTTTGGTGTATGCAGTTCCCAAGCAGCTTGGGCTGAAGGCTGTGCTGAGGGCAGCATCAGTGTTTTATGACTTTTGTCACAGGCCCTGTTTCATACATCACAGACCTGAGGCAGCTCAGCAGAAATGCGCACAATGAAGTAGTCTAGAGGAATTGGGAACATGGACATGCTGAATTAGAGTACGAGGTGCCTGGATGGCCTGGCTGCCTGTGGGCACAGCAGACAGAGATCTAATGCTGCCTAGAAAGCACATAGAAAACAAAGAAGGAGCCAACACACGACCCCGTGCAACTAAGGGGGAGAGTGCATCCTTCCAGCCTCTGATGGATGCCTTCCTGCTAAGGACAGCGGGATCTGGGCTGTTCAGGGACACCCTCCCCCCATGGGCTCCATGTGGCCCCTTACATACAGAGAGGGAGAAAAACAAAATGTCACAGATGCACAGAGCTAAAAAATGATTAAAAGTTTAAAATGACAGCAAGAGGAAGTGAGGAAAAATGAGAGAAATGGGTGTAGACAGAACGCAGTGGATAAAACCACACGCCAAGGTATATGTTTACTCTTAGCTCCTTGCTTTTGTCCAGGTCTTAGCCCCAGCCCAGGGAACTTTCTAATAGGAAAAGTTTCTGGAGGGCCTGTGACAGTTCTCTACAAGTCTAGATCTTACATAGACTGCTTTGTCCCTTTTATCTAAAGCAATGATGGTCCGTTCTCTTAGTGGATATATGAGAGTCGGGGAGTTTTGCATGACACCTGTAACTGCCTCTATAACAAGTCTAACCCCAGATGCTGATGTCAAACAGACGACAGACATAGCTGGGTGGAAGGAGCCCAACCCCCTGCCCAAGTCCTGTTTCCTGTCTGTGTAGTCTACTGTAAAACCATGGTCCTGGCCATCACACTAAACGTCTGTTTTTAAAATAGCAAACTGTCTTAACTGACAGTCATGAGTTCAATCATGGACAATCACAGAGGGAATTAGGTACAGTAGCCAAGAGAACTGCAGCAGCATTCTGGTGGCTGTCTCCTGTCAGTCAGATGCCCTATAGTGAAGTGTCCTTGAGGCTGCACATGGGCCATTACTGCATGTAGAACACTAGGAGGGGGACATTTTCCTACACACATGTACCTCTGCCCCACTGTGAATTTGTCCAGAGAATCACACAATGGGCTCTAAAAGGGAGATCCAATCCACCATGATTTGGGATGAGAAAGGGTAATCTTTCCAATCTTTCCCCATAAATATGCCATCTACCTTATAAACATTTATAAAAACTTTAAAACCAATGACATGGGGCCCCCTGTGTTGCTTCCTGTCTTTGGGGCCCACTACAATCTCTCTTTGGAGTGTCTCTCTACTTTCCTTTGAGAAGACAAGAACTAAGACCTCCCCCCCCCCCCCCAATTACACTGAAAGATGACCATACTCCAGTCCTCTCTTGGAATGCTGTAGTAAACATTGAGCAGAGTATGGCTTACCACCCACTTTGGAGTGTTAGCAGCAGAGGGAACAAATGACAACTTCTGACCTAGACACAATTCCAAAGGCAAGCTCCAGTTCAAGAGCTGGTCTTCGAACAACAGGCCTACTGTGTGTCAAGTACTGCAGCAGGCATACAAAATTCATCCCACTTTCACAGTAAGAGCAAATGGACTGTGAAGGACACATAAGACATACACATAAACATATAACAGCCATTAAACAAACAGGACATATTGCTAAGACATGGAGATCAATGGTATAGACGAGGGTCGCAAACCACAGTTGTTGGGTAGAACAGGTCTGTGGGCCAGGGTGGGGAGTCTATGACTGCAGCCACTCTTGACAGCAGGTTGGAGGTTTCCAAAAGGGAAAGCATGCTGTGCTGAGACCTTTAAAATGTTCAAGAGAAGCCAGAGGTCGGGACTGCTAAAAAGTGTCAATGGTTGCAACTAGTTTTTAACATAAATTTGAATGAGCTATGGCTGTTTGCGACTTCTGGTATAGACCATCAATGTGACAGCAATTCAGAGACAAGGTACTCAGTGCTGGCTGCAGTGGTCAGAGAAGGCTCCTCAGAGGAAGTGAGTGAGGCAGAGACGGAAAGGCATCAAGAAGCAGACAAGCACGCATGAGGGGCCGGCTGGGCACAGCTGAGACACAGGAAATGAGAGTGCAAGGGGCTGGTGGGACAGAAGGACCGTGATAGAACCCAGTCATAGGTATGCAAGGGGACAGAGTGACGGCTCCCGGGCTCACAGTTTCAGAGTCTGGAAGACAAGAAGGGGAAGACAGCTGGAGTGAGAAGTCCTGGGGACTGTCTAAGGTGTGTCCAATGCAAGGAAGCCCAGATCAAGGGAACTACCTGACTCTTACAGTGCAGGGGGCGGGGCTGTCAAGATGAAGGATTTCTAGAGAAAAAGGATAAGGGAGGGAGGAAGAGAGGGACAGAAGAATGAGGACAGACTCAGAAAAGGCTGGCTGCTGGGTGGGAACAGAATCAGAGGCACATGGAACCCTCACCATGAAGGAAGAGTGAATTCAGGAAGGTGTCTGCAGATAGTCCTGACCTGGCAAACACCAAGATCTGGGGAAAAGGTCACTGCTCCTTGGGGAAATGTAACTTCCTTTAATGGTGGAGTGGGCACAGAAACCAAACTGTAAAAGGTTATGGGTAGATGGCAAGGTGGATATTGGAGTCCTCCAGGCACTGGGGCAGGGGGATCTCATTGCATTTTTTTTTTTTTTTTCTAGATATGCTGTCTTTCTGAGAGAAGGCTACTGAAGAAAAGACTGAGCTATAAGAAAGGTAGGTATAAAGACAGGTGGAGGCGAGGGGCACAGACTGCAGTCTGTGAGGGAGTGACCTGAGAAAAGCAGAGCACATCTCTTCATAGTAGTGCTCGTCACACTCCAGCTTTCCTTCTATCCTGAGCTCTTCTCTGCTCTCCTGACTTTCTGCATATTTCTCCGAGGAAGAACACTGAATGGGGATAGCCAAGAAATCCAACCTTCTTGCTCATGTTAATATTCAACTCTTCTCAACAAAGCTTTCAGCGTTCAAAGGCTAAAATGATTATCTATATCTTGTCCCATGCAGGGCCCAACCTGCAGTGGACATCTCACAAACATGTTCTCAGTGCTCTGAACTTAACAACAGTCTGTCCCTTGGAAAGATGAGCATTTGCTGTGGAGTCAGTACATTGTTCAGGAACTAGGGAACTGGGTGATTTGGGAAAAAGGACAGCTGGCCCTGAAAAGGACGGCCAGGAATTGAAACTGGGATGGCTGAAGACGCTATGCACCCAGTCAGGCTAGAGGAGCTCTAACTCCACAGAATAACTCAACAGGGCTTCCTGAAACTAAGGCAAGGACATGGCTTCTCTAGGGGGATCAGCTGTTCACATATTCGTGAACACCACACATTTGCCTACCCTTGCCCAATCACATGTTTGCTATACTCAAGCACCTGTCTAGATGCCCTTGCAGTTAAAGCTCAATGGCTCCACAGGGGATGTATGTTAAAATGTCAGCTCTATGCACCAAACAAAACTAGACTCAGCTCTCCATAACTGTCAGTTAACAGAATCAACAACTGCAGACCAAAAGTATTTGGAAAGGTTGTGGGCATAGAGCATTTGCCTCATACATACATGGCCTTTTGTTCCATCCCAGTACTAGAAGGAAAAAAGAGAGAAAAGAAAGGAAGGAAGAAAGAAAAAAGACAATGGAAAAGGCTGATCTGTACTGACTATGTAGAGACCTTCATTTTCTTGTCATTATTTCTCAAGCACTGCAGGAGAACAACTATTTTTATGTAGCACTGCATTATTATACTAGATATTGTATGTTATCTAGAGATTAAAAAACATGGGGTGTGTGTGGAGGATGTTTGCCAATACTATGCTGCTTTACAAAGGGACTTGGAAGTCTGGAGACTGGGACTTTTGCTCTGGAGAACCAATCCCCTCACGGACACAAAGGGACAAATGTAGTACAACCCAAAGATGGCAGAATAATTTCTTCCTGAATCTGTTGACAACCATCCTAATGGTAAATCGTGGGAGAAGCAACAGCAAGAACTGCAGCTGGGGGGAGGCTTTACACATCCAACTTGAAATCACACACCAGGGGAGAGTTCAACACTGGTGGACAAAATGACTACGTGCTTCAGCAAAGCAGACAAAATATGAGAGCTGATAAGAGAGAGAGATGGAAGAAAGGTAGGAAAGAGGCAGCCATGGCCTTGTGATTTGATCACAGTAACTGATGTGGCACCAAGGGCTGGCTTGTCAAATTCTTCCTTGATAATCCCTATGGAGCAAAACACTGACTGGAAAGGGCTAACTAGATGGCAGAGGTTTTCAAACATGAATCAAGCAGAGAGGCTGTTTGTCTTCAATAGAAGGTGTTGGAGGTGTAATGCTCTGTTAGTGTATTAATTTGGGTTTGGAAGAAATTAGAGAATGCAGCAAGAATGAAATTATGCTGGGAAATGCTAGGCAGAGGCTTCACCCCCAGGAAAGGCATGCAGAGGCAGGGTAAAGAAGAACAGAGGTAGAGCGAGAGGGGGCAGAGCGAGAGGGCATCAGCGGACACGCAGGTTACATTACCTTGATGGGCGCGCATTTCGGGAAGGGCCTTTTCTAAGACTGCTAATGCTTTTCTATGGTAATCTGCTTGGGCTTCTAATAACTGAGAACAGACCCACATTCAAAAACAAAAGTAACGTTAGCATTGGATGGACACAGACACAATGGTTGAGCAAAACTGAAAATGAACTCTTTCCAAAAAGCTTAAATGATTGAATTTTTCTACCTTGTTAGCATTCAGTCAAGGGAAGGTACTTACCATCACAAAGAATTTGCCGTATTCTCCTTCTCTGGCCATGAAATTGTACATATCTGCTGCAAGTTGATCCTGGGTAGAAGAAGTGTCACTAACATTAGTAAAGAAACTAGCACCTGACAACAACGTCTGGGATTTCTTAGATTGAACAAAGGGATGTAAACACCCACCCCTGAAGGACTATGTTAATCAGGTTGAGGTGGGAAGACCTACCCTAAAAGTGGGTGGCACCATGTTTGGAGGTTGGGTCCTAGACTGTATAAAAAAAACCACTTAGGTAGGCAGAGGCATACATTCATCATTTCCCTGCTTCCTAACTGTGGCTATGAAGGGATCAGTGACACTTGATGCCACGAGAGACTTGACCTTGAAGCGTGAGCCACAATAAGCCCTTTTTCCCTTCAGCTGCTTTTGCCAGAGGATTTTATCACTCTAATAGGAAAAGAAAGTAAGTTACCAAGATACATGCTGGTACACCTTTTAGAAAGCCAAAGCACTGAGCATGATTTGGCATTTATTACCATTGGGGCTCTGGGTAACAAAAAGGAGGGAAAAGGTTACACTTCTACTGTCATATAAATATAAAAATGTGTATGGAAAACAAAAAAATAAAAAACAAACAAACAAACAAACAAACAAACAAAAAAACAAAACAAAACCCAAGCTACTACAAACAGTTTTCTGTTGTTGGCAGTAGATGCTGGGGCTGGGCAAAGAGAAATGAAGAAAGACTTCATTCTGTGGTGACACTTTTAAATTTGTGAACTAATATAAAACACTTATGTAAAAATAGATGTTATTCTTGTTATCCTGCAGCACTGAATTGAATCTCAGGCCTTGTACAGTCTAGGTAAGCTCTCTATCACTAAGCCTGATATCTACTTTTTTATTTTGAGGCAGAGTGTCACAAAAGTCCTAGCTGGCCCTGAGTACTTTTTGTAGCTCAGGCTGGCCCAGAACTTGTCTTAGCCTCTCAAGTGGCTGGGATTACAGGCTTGTACCATCAGGACAGAAATTTAAAGGACAGATTTAGCATTTGAATATACATTTCCAATGTTTCTAAATTTGTAACTATAGACATTTTATATATATATTGGAAACATATATTAGAAAAACTATACATATAGTTTGAGTGAGCTTTTTAATGTACTATCTTCTATTTTTCCCATTAAGGTACACAAAGTAAGATGAGTACTTTCTTATTTGGAAATGCACATAAAGAGAAACAAATATGCCTTCAGAATAAATAAGAAAGTTGATTTCCTGAGACCTCACCCTGATCCTAAACAGAAAGAGGAGGAAAGAAAATAATGAACAAAACAGTTAAATACTAAACACAAACTAAAGCTGGGGACAACTTCTGCTGCCCAACATGCTGGAATGTAGCAGTCGTGTAAGCTCAAGGGTCAGAAAATTGTTAAGCATGGAGCCTAGTAAGTTAAGGAAGAACAATATATCCATCATGCATAACGACATGTATGTATATCTTTTATATACATGTATAACTTTTCTTTTTTGAAACAAGGTCTCACTATGTAGCTTAGCTGTCCTGGAACTCACTATATAGACCAGGCTGGCCTTAAACTCAGAGACCTACCTTCCTCTGCCTCTGCTTCCAGAGTGCTAGAATTAAAGGCATGTGCCACCATACCCAGCTTGTTTAAGAACAGTATTTCTAAAGAATTATATCCCAACAAAGGGGATGATTACAGTAAGTTCTGTCATTAGCACATGGAGAGTCTGTGGACTATGCTGAGTCTAGGAAAGAATAATGCCTATGAAACACTCACTCCCAGTTCCCAGGACCCCAGAGACAATGTTTTCCTCCACTGGTTAAGCTAGTGCACTGTTAGCAGTGTCACTTGAATATTTTTTTTTCATATTCTTTTTTTTTGTTTCATTCTCTGAGTTAGAGTCTTGTGTAGCCTATGCTGGTCTCAAGCTTATAGCCAAGAATGACCTTGAATATCTGATCCTCTCAAGTATTAGGATTACTACTCCCAGTTTGTGGTTCTGGAACTGAACCCAGAGCTCTGGGCATGTCAGGCCAGCAGTTCTACCTACTAAGCTAAATATGATCCTTTATAAACTATGGTGCAACTCTATGAGGTATGCTTCATTTTCACTTACCACATTCAGTATTTAGTAGTTCTAGTAAATAGCAGTCAATATCTGCTATTTTTTTCTTTTCTTTTTGTATGTTTATGAGACAGGGTTTCTCTGTGCAACAGTCTTGCTGTCCTGGAATTCATTGTGTAAACCAGGCTGGCCTTGAACTCACAGAGATCCAACTGCCTCTGTCTCCCAAGTGCTGGTATTAAACTCTAACACCACTACCCAGGAATAATTCCTATCTTAAGGAAGGGCCTGAACAGACCAAAATATAATTAAGAGTCCCAACACATTCTAGGGGGAAATGATCATTTTTAGAAAACAATGAGCAACAGCAGGAAACAAAGAAAATAAAGATCCCAGGAGTCACCAAAGACTAATTTCTTTATTGCCTCTATAAGCATTTGAATAAGTGTCTATTTACACAGATCTGAGGAGAAAAATATCACTTAATAATCTAATCAGTATGGAATGTTTAAAAGTATTTTTGAAATTAAAATTTTTGATAGAGAAAATTATTATTCTCCCAAATTATAAACCAATTGTAGAAAACATTAAAAAAAAAAAAAAATCCTTTCCACCTGGAATGGTGGTCCATGCCTTTAATCCTAGCATTGGGAATAAGAGGCAGGCGGGCATCTCTGTGAGTTGAAGCCAGCCTGATCTACATAGTGAGTTCTAGAACAGCCAGGGCTACTTAGGGAGATCCTGTCTCAAAACAAACAAACAAACAACAACAAAATCCTTCCTTTACTAAAGTAAATATGAGCAATTTACCATAACAGATGTCATATTTGTGTGAGAAAACGTATACTATTATACTGCTATCTTCATACCATCATCTGCCATTTTAACTCTGTATATTTATTTGTTTCCTTCTCTCAACTGACTATTTTAAATAAGCCCAGTCAAGTTTTCCTTACTTGCATCTTAAAGATTTATTTTAGTTATACTTAGATTATATATGTGAATGTGCTGTGTATGGGTATGAACATTTGAGTGAGGGGCCTGCAGAGGCCAGAAGAGTGTGCTGGATTCCCTAAAGGGGGTGGCAGGCGGTTGTAAATCACCCAGGTGGGTCCTAGGAACTGAATTCAGGTCCTCTGCAAGAGCAGTGTGCATTCTCACCACTGAATATCTCCCCAGACCCACCTGCATTTTCAAAAGTGTATTTTTGTTATAAAATAATGCACAGTATTAGAAAATTTAAAAAACTAAACTGTGGTTGGGATAATGTATGAGACAAGAATAAATGAAAATAATAACAAAATAAAAACTACTCTTCAATATCATTCATAGTATTCCATATGAACTAGGTAAAACACTGAAGAATTTAAACATTTTTGCCCATTATTTACAGAAAACAATATGTAGCTGAAGGTCTACCCCGACAAGGGAATTCCCATACCTTGCACTGTTCGACTTTATTTCCAGCTTCATCCATCTCTTCCTTTAGGGTGTCTATCTTGGATGGAAGCCCCTGAAAGTTTGTTCCTGAAGACTTGTGTGCTTGGTTCCACCTGCAAAACAAGAGCCAGACTGAAAAGGAACTGTGCAAATTCAACCAGGAGTCAGGACCTGGAGAGAGACCCTTACCCATGCCTGACTTCCCTGGGATGGAAGCTGGCAGGAGGCTTTTTTCTTTCTTATACCTGTCTCCGGAACAGAACAGGTACTTGCTTCCCCACAAGAAGAACTCCTGTAGTGCTGGGGGGGGGGGGGGTTACAAGCATATTCTGTGTCACAACACCACTGCTGGAACATAATCTGCAGGGTCCCATCATTGAGCCCTTGCCTTCTCCTGGTTTATCTAAAATGTTCCCTATGTCCTGAGAACAAGTCCCTGCTCCTGATGATTCCTTATGATGTACCTTCCTACCATTTGAGACCTGTGATTGCTTTTTAGCAGTGAAGGCTGGAAATTCAACCCTACAGCATTTCATATACACATAGTAATAGCAGAGGGGTAGAGGTGACTAATAAATCTGTAACATTATTTCTGCTTTCCTTTCTTTCTTAAGATTTTATCTATTTATTATGTATACAGTGTTCTGTCTATATGTTTGTCTGCATGTCAGAAGAGGGCACCAGATACCATTCTAGATGGTTGGGAGCCACCATGTGGTTGCTGGGGACTGAACTCAGAACCTCTGGAAGAGCAGCCAAGACTATTAACCTTTAAGCCATCTCTCTAGCCCTATTTCTGGTTTTCAAATATGCTTTGACCCTCTGAATATAGGTATGTCTGGTCTCATTGAAAATTTAAATATTGATGCACACATGGCATGAAAACCCACACTAGGGCCCAGTGGTGCTGGCGCCCGCCTTTAATCTCATCACTTGCCAGGCAGAAGCAGGCAGACTTCTGTGAGTTTGAGGCCAGTCTGGTCTAAAGGGTGAGTGCCAGGACAGCTTCCAAAGCCAGAGTAACCCTGTCTCAAATCCCCCATCACCCAAAAAGAAAACCCACACTAGCAACTTACTAAGCTTCTCTGTCTGATGCCTTGCCCTACAAATGCCACATTGTACCTACCCCCAGTATGAAACACAGAAAGCTTCCCATGCCTACAGAAGCAAAACAGCCAGTGCTGAGTTTGAGAAAAAGCACAGAATTTGGAGTTCGACTTGTTGTTTGAAGAGCAGTTCCAGCTTATGCAGCTGTGTGACTTGGAGTCTAATCTCTGCCTGGGTTGTCTCATCTGTTATGTGAAGCTGATGAATGAACACTGTCTACCTTGCAGAAGTAAAGGGAGGGACTTGAAGTTGGGCATAGCAGCACACACCTTTAATCCCAGCACTCAGGAAGCAAAGGCAAGCCTCCAGGGAAGCTAAAGCTACACCTGAGACTGTCTCGAAAACAAAACATCAAAAACAAAACAAACAGGAGGGGACAGGCACAAGTGCTTGCAGAGTACATACCAAGATGCTCGCTGCATTAGATCCCACTTTCCTTCAGGGAGAGCAGAGCCACAGGAACAAGTAAAAGCAAACAAGGAATACTCATCCACTGCAGTTTCTCTAATACCCACTTCAGTTAACTAAGTGAGTATGACTATGGACATAAGAATCAGTGTTGGATATCCTACGGCACATGTACTTGAGATGTTGATGCCCTGACAAGATAAACCTCTATATTTTGCTTAGCCAAGCACAGTGAAGGGCATATACAACCTCAATTAAGTAGCAGACATTCTTTCTCCTGAGCAAAAATGTATTGGGGGGGGAGGGGCATGTTCCCTGTTCTCTGTCATGCAGGGTTCCAGACACACATGTATACATGACAAGGACAAAGTAGAACTGTCCTTCAGAGTATTAGTTCTGCCACCTGCTATCTCCAGGGCACAGAGTAAATCATACAGACAGCATGTGTTCAGCCACAAGGAACTCAAAGCATTCTGTGAGTCCTCCCCTTCTTGATCATGAAGGTTTCAGACCCTAGGAAGTTCTCATAAGCTGTCAGGATCACAGACTTATTATCCCTCAACTCCAATGTCTTGGGAGCTGTGTTCTGAAGTGTCAGCCCTCAACCCTCTTCCTATTAATACATTTAGCCAAGGATGCTCAAACAGCATCTCCACTGCCATGCTTGGAAGAGGCTTAAAGAAGACATGCACAGGCTGTGACCTGGCCAGTGACTGAGGTGTCTGTCTGACTCTGACAGGCTTGACTGCTGATCACAGGACAGAACTCTGCTGCATTCATCACTAATCTCACAGCATCACCTTACCTTGCTCTGACAGAATCCCAGTCCAACACCAGTCTAGCAAGCTGTTTCCTTTGTTTTTGGATGTTGGGAATCTCCACCTGGAAGGAAGAACAGACCACACAGATACACCTGGGATATTAACTCAATTCTTCAAAGAGCAATAACCTCTTAACAAAGGGTTTTTGTTTTTGTTTTTAAGACACAAACTCCTCTTACTTTCCCCAAAGAGTTCTACATTAACACCGCTGATGATTTTAATTTTAGGCCCACACTAACCATTTACTACCTGATCCCTGCCAGGATGGGCAGCACAAGAACCCACCTCTGCTATGCCATAGAGAGGGTCCACTATCTCCTTCTCGACAAAGGCTTCATGCTGTGAGAGCTCAAGAGCCAGTTGATTCTCAGCATCCCCACAGGTCTCCAGCATCTTCCTTTAGGGACAAGATACCAAACAACCATGCTCATTAAACCAGGTACAAGCTGTCATGTGGCTGTACTCTGCTCTGTGACAGGAACACAGCAGAGCACTACCTAGTAAAGCTTGCAGGATGTATGCATGTGGATTACCACATAAAATACAAGTCCAGATTTGTGCTTTAAAATGAAATGAACTGGGACTGAAGGATGGCTCACTGATGCAGTTCTTGTGTAGAGTATTCGGGGCCCTAGGTTCCAACCTCAAACTGGAGGCTGAAGGGAGGGAAGGACTATCTCTGCCATGTACTTAATGCACAGGGAGATTAAGTGTGAAGGGTGAGGTCACAATTCAAAGAAGAATTAGGTTCTCAACTCAGGTGAAATGTCCTCAAAATACCCTGAAAAAAAATTTTAACATGTGCAGAAGGTCACTCACTGTGGTTCTGTGTCTGCTATTGAGTCTAACCTTAGCAATGCTTCCTCTAGCATTAACACCAAAAGTGGGTCTCCAGCTTAGCAAGTATAGATGTGGGTTTCTCCCCAACAGCACACAAAAACAAGGTTCTCAGCTGCAGATGAAGTGTCTGACTAACAGGGGCCAAGAACATGGTGCTACTCCAACATCATACTTCCTTTTTGTTTGCCTTACATACACAGCTGAGGTAACCCCAGATACATGTACAAGTGTGTAATTCCACTGGCTCGGTCTTCCCTCTGGCCCTTCTTCTGCACCATGCCCCTACATCTCTCTGTGGAGTTCTTTTGGCAACACAAAGGGTGTGGTGTGGTGAGAGGTGCCCGTGGTATCACAGCCAAGCCGAAGAGTTTGAATATAGGCTTTGTACTCTGCAGCTGTGCGGTTTCAGGCAGTCTCCCTACCCTTTCTTTTGCCAGCATCCCTCATCTGTAAAATGGAAGCATTAGTACTGTCTACCTCCTAGGCTGTTTTAAAGGCTAAATGAACTAATGTCTGGAGAGAATTCAACACTGGGCTTGTACACAGCATCACTGCTGTGAGGAAAATGACATTAGTACAAGGAAGCAAAGTTGGAAATATGTACAGGTTTTAATTTCAAAAGACTTGAAGACTTAAACTGTTCTAAATACTCATAAGCATGCATGTGCGTGGTGACGATAAGCATTCTAATTACCCAGATAAAATCATTATCCATCATTCCATCACCGACCCATAAGTATACAATTACATGTGTCAATTAAAAATATATTTAAAAAGAAAACAAAGTAGGCATAATAGTTTGAAGCTAAAACAACCACCACATAAACCACATAATTCAGGAAATGCATTCTTTTCACACTACCACCTTTTGTCATGGTCATACTTAAAAGTCTGAAGGACTGAGAAGGACTTGCCAGTGCTAACTGCATCTACACTGGCAAGCGCAAGTGCACAAATTCATGTGCAAGCATGGGGGAATACACCCTGACCGTTTGTGCATGGTTCCTTTTCTACCCAATTCTACCCAAGCTCCTAGTAGAGAAAGACATCCTCAGCACCCAGGCCTGGGGTCTCTCCGCAAGGTCTAAGCTGCTCCCCTGATGGAAGAGCCCCCTCTATTGTGTTCACAATTCCTACGGGGCTTCCAGACACAACAGCTGCCCACCTCCCCCAGGCTCCGGGCCAAGGACTCTCCAGAAGCACCACTCTTACCCCAGGAGAGACTCTTCTAGCTGGGTTGATGCCTCCTGCATGTTCTGGGCAAGTGCTGTCAGAGGAAGCTTTTTCTGGAAGGCAAAGACAAGGTGGGTTTTTATCTGCTGTTCCATGGCCAGTCTCACTAGTCTGCTTCAGGTCACTCAGGCTACCCCTGCCCTCCACGCAACTTGTGAGAGCTGTCCCTGTGGATCAGCCTGCACTGTCCTTGAACTAAATTAACTTAGGTGCCTGGCACATAGGGAGTGTTCAGCACATGGAGTGTGCCTCCCACACTGGGCATGTCCAGCGCATAGGGTATGCTCACCAGGGGCTAAGCAGCTGCTACTGTTGTTGCTGCTGTTACTGTTACTAATTAACCAGGTGCATAGAGACTGAGTATCACTTATCTGAAATGTTGGGACCATATGTGTTTTAGACTTTGAAATATGTGTTCTGCCTTTACTGGATGAACATTCCCAACTTGAAAATCTAAAATGTGAAACTGTCCAAAGTCTGTAATAAACGTTTTGATTTTAGAGCATTATGGACTTCAAATTTAATTTTTTAAATTAAAATTACTAAAAAATAATTCATTTACTGTATGTGGGAAGGTGCACCTGCACTAATGCCAATGTGCAAGTCAGAGGACAAGTGTGGGAGTCAGTTCTTTCCTTCTACCCTGTAGGCTCCTGGAATTAAACCCAGGTCATCAAGCATGATGGCAAGCACCTTTACCAGCTGAGTCATCTTCCCAGCGCTTGTTTGTTTTTGAGACAGGGACTTTTGTATCCTGAGCTGGCCTTGAACTCACTATGTAGCCATGGATGACTTTGAACTTCTGATCCCTTTGTCTCCACATTCCAGAGTGCTAGAAGTACTGCCATACCTAGTCTGTGTGGTGCTGGGGACTGAAACCAGGGCTTTGTGGATGCCGGGCCAGCACTCTACCAGCTGAGGTAGATTCCCCAGCCCCTAGATTCCAGAGTTTCAGAATGTGTTCTATGAATAGACCTTGCTCTCTAAATATCATCAAAAGTAAATGTAATAAATGCTCAACTGCAAAACTTAGGCTAGAACATTCTTAATCTGGGCCTTGATTTGGCTATAATCCTAAAATTCAGCTTTAAATATCTTACAACATCTGAACAACTTTTGTAGTGTTTCTAAGCACAGAGTCACTCATTTTCCTATCAGCAACAGGATAATTCTGACTTTCCAGTGAAAAGGACACTTACGTCAGATACTGTCTGCTGCCTGCTTTCCTGAATGTACTGGCTTGTGCCATTTGGGAGTACTTGTAGACAGCTATCCATAAAAGTACCCATAGTGGTGGCTCTGGAGGAGGGAGAGGAGTCAGGAAAGCAGGACTGAGACAAACTTCACTCATGTTCTTTTGTGAATTCTGAATTGAAGTTTATCTGTGCAGCTGGAGAGATGTCTCAGCAGTTAAAAGCACTTGCTGCTCTTCTAGAGGACTTGCATTTGATTCCTAGCAACCATAAGGAGACCAGTACTGCCTGCCATGCTCTCAGAACAGAAAGATCTGAGGATAATTGAGGATAATTCATGGTTTGGGTGAGCTCCTTTGAAAAAGAGATGAAATGTAAGGTAAATGTAGTAATCAAAAGAGGCAGACCGTACAATACTAGAACTCCATGGGTCTGTGGAGGGAAAAATCATGAAGAACTTATTTTATAAGTGTCATTCATGATCATGACTGTACAGCCATAATCCTGTTTCCTGGAATACATCAACAAGGAAATTCTACTGAACGATCATATTAATGAAAGTACTGATCCACACTGGATCTCCACAGAGCAGATCAGGCTTCCCAGGGGTGAAGAGCCTTCTGTCATCAGAGAGGAACTAAGAAGCTCTACAATGGTGACGGATGAGCCAATTACACAGAAAGGCCAGCTAAGGGCTCTTGAAGGCTCCCTTTAGGAGTTCTGCCATTCCCACGGAGGCTCCCAGAGCTGAGAAAGCTGCTTTCCATCTCTCTTCCCATGTGATGGAGCTATTGCTGTGCCCTTGGGAACTCTGAGAGTCTCTCTCAATGGTATATGCTCTCCTGAGGACTCCTCTATTTTTTCTCACCGCTGTCATGGCAACTCTTCTTGACTCTCCTCAGAGCCTTTTCTTTGGCATATTTGCTTGCAGTTATAAAACAAACAAACTAAGGTATCAGATATTTCAGAAATTAGGATGAAGGTCCTTGCTCCTACTGCTGGCATGTTCCCACCACCAGTAACTCTCCTCTCTACAGCCCAGTCACTGAACCCTCCAAGAAGCCCACCTAACCACTTCCTATGTCATCTGTTCTCACCCTCCCACAGCATCCTATGCACGTTTTGTTCACTATGTTGTTTTATAATTATTCAGTGGTGACATCCATCACCCAAATGGGCCATGATTACATTTATCCATTTTGTATCTCTAGCACTCAAACACAGTAGGTATTTGATAAAAATTCAGTTTGCTTTCAATGAATAGGTATGACAGTTGGGCAGACAACAGAAAAAGATAGGACATGGCTATGTAAAGGACACTGTTTTATGTAGGGACTTCTGCAGTGGGAATGAGAGGAAGCAAGGCACAAGGGAGCTGCTGAGGCAAAATGGGATTAGAATACAAAGCATTTAAGTCATGCTGAAGAGTATGAACTGTATTCTAGGCAGTGGTAACCAGCAGAGCCCCTTAAGAGGTCCCACTAGTTTTTGGGGCACACCTCAAGTCCAGGTATGCTACCAGCACCACAGACTATTCAGCATCTTCCCACCTTGGCAACTGACTCTGATAATCAGACTGAAGACTGACTAGAAAGGATGAAAACTGGAGGCAGGCAAGATGGTTCAGAAGGGAACCAGGATGCCAGCCCACACAGTTCAAGTATTCATGATAACCAGGTCTCACCTTAAGGAACAGGTAGGGATGAGGCAGGGATGAGGAATTTTAAAGATATCCACAACGAGAATCACAGGGTTGACTAGCAAGGCAGCTACAGGAGGGCGGAGACAAGGTTGGAAGGTCAGCGGAGCAGAAGCCAGGCTAGAAGAGGAGCAGTGGGAACAGAACCAATGACTCAGTCTGTCTCTGAGAAGCAGACCAAAGCAAGCATCCCGTACCCATAGGCGTATGCAAATGTCCACTCGATTTACACAACTGCAGAATCCTAACTATTGTGCAAGGCAGGGAAAGCCTTGTGGTCAGGTGCCCTGTAAGTAACTGTGGGAAACAAAAGAAGGGTGACACAGATATTTGCAAACTAGTTCTTCCTTCTGTGATATCTGGTGATTAACAAAGAAGCAAACGCTAGCTTCCTGGTGTGCCACTGAACTGTCATTTTAATGTGGCTCTGAGATGCATCTAATACTCACATGTCTCCTCTCAACATCGGTGCCATGCTGACCCTGGAAGCATGCTATCAAGCGCTTATGTGAATGGTGGCACATTGACCGCACAGTGTCCAGACGCCGTTCAATCTGTCAAAGCAGAGACAAAAGAGCCATTTAGAGGTCTTAAGGAAAAGTCAGCCTCTTCCACATGTGGTGTGTGCATAAAGGTAGGAAAAGCAAGCTGCAGTGAAACTTCACAGCTCTTGGGTATTGACAGACAGCTCCTATTTACTCATGCCATGGGTTTTGCTGCTGACACTTGATAGTCTTGGGTTGCAGGAGGCTGTCCTTGTACACTGCGGTGTGTTCAGCAACATCTCTGGCCTCTACTTATTAGACGCAAGAAGCACTCCTCTTCTCATGATGTCAGTATCTCCAGGAAAGCACAGAGCTGCTTCCTTACACTGAAATGTTCTAGACCCTCCAAAGCTAAATCTGTTCAGGCTAAGGGACGATCATGACTATGTCTATGAGGCCAAGTAGTGGCAGTCAGTTTACCAGCTAGGGCACCATCAAAGCTCTGGTCCAATCAAACAAACTCCTATCTACAGCCACGTGGGAAAAGTCAGCAGGGACATAAGAAGCACAAGCAATGGGGGTCTTCCCCACAGGGCAGCAGGCCCAAAATCCATGTGGCACAACCGTATAAAACCTTCTTCCATATTAGGTTTCGGGCAGGTTTTGGTTTCTGTTTAAAAGAGGCCCCCCACAGCAGAATGGGTACCCAGCAGTAAGAATTACTGACCCAGGGACCACACATGTTAAATAACTTCCCCAATCAGACTGCTGGGATATTGCTGTTTATGGCAAAGAGGGCTGCTTGTTACAGGAAGGAATGCCAAAAATGTGTGTTCTGATGACTCATGAAGAGTGAGAGCGAGCCTCAGGGACGCCTTCTATTCTAATGAAAAGTCAGCAAATTCAATGCAGAATACATTTTGACTCCTAGTTGCTTTGTGCCTGTTTCTCAAAGGTACCTGGATACAATTAGCTTCTCTTCAGATCCAAGCCCCTGTCATCAGGATTGTGACCAGTAGATAAGCTGACATTCAGAAGCACATGCCACAGCAACTCCCCATCTACAGTGGCCACAGTTCAGAGCATCAGAAAACTAGTAGTCTCCATTTGCCACAAAAGCAAATGAATAATTGGAATCCTGAACCTTTTTACCAACCTGTTAACTCCATGGGGACAGGAACCCTGTTTGTTTTGTTCACTGGTCTCCCCCAAGTGCATGGTCCAGTGGCTGCCACAGGATCAGAAGGCCTCTACTTTTGACTATGGTGGACAAATACCTAGTGCTCTCCCGTGCCTGGTATTAGAAAAGCAATAGGGAATACACACCAGTCTTTGCCCGCTGGGATCCACAGCCTCCTGGGGCAGTAGCATGCTACTAAAATAAAAGGCAGCCCTGGCATAAAGAGATGGGGGAAGAAGGCAGTGTTACCTCAGAGGTAGGCTAGCAACACATACCTGGTGGCGTGGAGTGGCAAGCAGAGAAAAGTCAAACCCCTCTCTCTCTCAGGCTCCACTGTCAGGACTCCCACCATTTCATTCACTCTCTCATTAGTCCTCCCGATAAGTTCATGGGGCAGATACTGCCAGCACCCTCACTGGAGACCAGTGGAAACTGAGGCACTGGGGGACTAACTCAACCCTAGGCCACAGGACCAGTTGGAGGCAGACCTGGTGGTAGGTAGAGTTAGCACTGGGAACCATTGTTTTTTTGTTTGTTTGTTTGTTTGTTTTGTTTTCTCCTTCAAGTTAAAACAGCAGCAAACAGAGAGGGAAAACATCTGGAGCAGTTACGATAGACAGCAAAGAAGAGTCTGTGTAATAAAACCAGGGTGTTCCAGAGGGTGCAAAACTTTCATGCCCCATAGGCAACAATGGACAGCTACCCCCAGTGCCATCAGGCCTTACCTTTCCTCCAGCTACAAGGACCTGATCTCAGAACTTCAAGGATTAAATGAGATAATGTATATTACTGGAGCAGGATGGCATGAAAACCTAGCTGAAACTTGGCTGACACAAACAGTACCCCAGGAGGTCAGAAAATGAATTTAAAATACACGCCCCAAAATAAGAAACGTCAAGAATGTAATTTAACAAATCTTTTTTGTTTTGTTTTCTAAGTCAAGGTCTAACTATATAGCAAAAGCTGGCCTTGAACTTAAAACCTCCAAAAAAAAAAAAAAAAAAAAAAAGGCTTTTAAAAATGTATCAGGCTAGAGTAAGAACATAGGCTTAGACTGCTCTAGGTTTAATCCCCAGCACCAAAACCCAAATCAAGTGGCCCTCCACATCAATGGATTTTTAACATCCATACCTTTAGCCAGCCACAGATCAAAAAATACTCATAGAAAAAAATTTAAGATCATGTGTGCACTTTTCATTGCTGTTCTCTGAACTATGCACACTGTGAGTAACTAAGAGGAAATTTAAAGTACAGATGGGGCTCAGTAGCAGAGTACCTGCTTACTACGAATGAATGAATGAATGAATGAATGAATGAATGAATGAATGAGGATGCTATCAAAAGGACGTGTACAGGCTGAATTCAAATGCTGCACTGTTTTGTACGAGGACAACTAGAATTAATCTGTCCATGGAAACCAAAATGACTATATTCTACTCGCAGGTGGCTGACACAATCTGAGGTGTTTGGCGGGCCGTGACGGAAACTCTTCTCTGACTTATACCAGCTCCTTTTCTCTACAGGAAGGGATAGATGGTCCACTGGAGCCAGACTCTCAGTCTTTAGAGTCTCACATGAGTAGACAAACTGCTGTGTAAGTTACGGAGTCACAAGGCAAGCAGGCAGGACAAGCAGCTTAACAAAGACTCGGTGCAGCCAAGGCTCGCCCTCCCTGGGCCTTCTAACGTGGGTGGAGCTGTGAGCAGAGATGAAGTATAGAAAGGCCCCAGTGTCTTCTCCAAGACCAAAGTCAGGGAAACTTCTTGACAGATGGAATAGGGTGGCCCTGGCCAGTCTCCTGGCAGGAAAAGGAAGGTAGGTCTGAGCTGATGACATGCAGAGTCCCAGACCCCCAGCTGGTCATGCTAGATATGGCCGGATCAACACAAGACTAAGCTCCCAAGACCCAAGCAGCCCAGGGGTGAGGAGAAACAGTGCTAGCAGGAGAGGGACATCAAAGTTGTAGGTTGGAGCCACTGGGGCCTCTAGCAGTGGGCAGACCTGTCCCATCAGGGGCAACATCACAGCAGTGGATCAGAGTGCCAGCCTACCAAGAGCCTGTGGCCAGGCCACTGTGCCGGGGGACTGACCAGGCCTGCCCCATGCCAACACCTGGCATAAAGGAGCAGGACTAGCCCCATCCAAGCTTCACAACATGACAGGTTTCAGATCTCCTTTCTTTTGTATTCCTGTCCCATGCATCTCTGTCCTATCAAACCCAAGCTAATTCAGTTATTCTATTCTACCTAGGAAAGAGGAAGTGAAAGGCCTCACAAGCACCAAGTCTCACCATGTCTATGTCACTCCCAGTCCTCAAGTCCTCCCCCATAACTATTTCCTTTGTTGGGTTTAAACCAGGGGTTGTGAATGCTAGAGAAGTGCTTTACCAGAGTCACGCTGCCAGTCTTAGATTTAAATGATTTGTTTTCGTTTCACATCTTTAAAGAGATTGTTTTAAGACTATTTTGACCAGCCTGGAGGTCAAATAGACCTCATGGGAGGCTATGGCAGGAGGATTGTGAGTTCAAGTCTTAGAACTTACAGAGTAAGTTTGAGGACAGTCTGAGCAAAGCAGTGAGACCATGTCTCAAAAAGAAAATAGGTAGTGGTGTAGCTCTGTGGTAAAGCACTAGCCCAGCATGCATGCATGCAGCCTGGGATGTGATCCCTAGTCAGGAGAAAGCGTGTTTGTTACCTGAAGCAGATCTTCACTGAGAACTTCTGTTTTCTCAGCTCTATGGGAAAAATGAAATTCAGAATTAGAAGTGAAGGAAAAGTAACCTGTGAAACTTAAAAATGGGTAATTGGGGAATTCCAAACAAACAGGCAGGAGTAAATTTACATCAGAGGACAACTTAAGAAAAACAAACAAAAAGACTGAATAGCAATCCAACACAAGAGCCCATGGTGTGGGACAGTGGCCCTCAGCCTGCTGTGGAGAGTCACTCACAGCCTTTCTCCAGGACTGGTCACACAACATTCTAGACCAACTCTGGAGTACCATCCTGCATTGTGGAAGGTCCACACAGGCCGTGCTTTGAGAACCATTTTCTGAAGGCTCAATTTCAGGCACTAAAAAGATCACATCTAAGTTTTCACAGCCAGTCTTATAGAGAAAAGTTTGTCCTAGATCTCCAAACCTTGGGCCTCACACACCACAGTAGCAAACATTCCTCCTCTAATTTCACAGGGAAAATAGTTATTTCCCAGTGTCCTCTTTGCAGTGCTCAGAACAACTGCTAGATTTGCTGAACATCACAGCTATCATGAGAAGAAGGCCTGTCTAGGCTGCTAGAGTCCAAAGCTGAACAAAACTGCCCAGTGACCCAATTGCTCAAAGCTAGCTTCCATTGGTAGGAAGGTGACTTTAATCCTGCCTAGATGGAGAAGTTAGGTCACTGGGTACACCCTTAGGTAAGACTTGGGGATCCCAGCCCTTTCCTGTCTCTCATGGATTTTTTGAACACCATGCAGTTATCAGGTCTCGCTTGTATTCCTATGATATTCTGTGCCACCACAGGCCCAAAGCAACAGTGCCAAGCAACCATGTAACAAAACCTACGAATCCATGAGCCAAAATGAACCTTTCTTCCTTTTTCTTCCTTATCTGTTTCCCATGGGTATATGTGCACGTGTACACACATTCCCAAGTGCACAGATGCACATGCATTTGTGTAAGTATGAATGTGAAAGCCAAAGGTTGATGCCTGGTGTCTTCCTCAATTGTTTTCCACCTTTTATACTGAAGCAGTGTCTCCCACTTGAACCCAGAGCTTACAGATCCAACTAACCTAGCAAGCAATCTTGTCCTGAGGATACCACATCAGGCTATCACACTCACCAGCTTTTTTACTTGATGGCTACGGATCTGAAGACTGGTCCTTACAAACTCATGGCAAGCACTTTACCCATCGGGCCATCTCACCAGCCACCCTTTCCTCAAGTGGCAAATACTTTGTCACAGCTGAGAATGCTTTTCTTGGCAGTTCATAGGGCTGCTTATTGACATATAAAACCTGAAAGTCCTGGAGTCCAAAGTATTATTGTGGAATTGTGGTTTAACTTGTGATCTGAGAAACTGCAAATTTCTGTTAAAAACGAACAAGGAGAGTTTCAAGAAAAAAGGGAATTCTGAATAGTTAGGGTACTTTAGAAGGTGCCCAAATGAACTAATCTTGAGTCCCTTTCTGACTTTCAAGACAGAGTCTCACTATGTAACACTGGCCTAGAACTCACTCTGCAGACCAGGCAGGCCTCAAATTTAGAGATCCTCTGCCTCTGCCTCCCAAGTGCTGGGGCTAAAGGCATGCACTACCATCTCTTAGAAATGGCTTTTTAAACAAACTATGGCAGAATGTAGAGCTGCATAATCTTAGGCTTGACCCAATATAAAAGAGGGAGAAGCTGTTTGGCCAAAAACTGAGGGAAACTCTCAAAATGACCTGAAAACACAGCTCAGAGCAGCCCCATATATTAGCAAGTGAGAGAAATACCAGTGCCCCTCCAGCCTACTGTTGGGGGCAGTGGCATGTTTATCACAATGGCCATTGCTACAGAAGATTCCAGAACCAGGTGTGATTCAGTGTCCCAATTAACCTAGAGATGCCTAGAGGAGTGCCTCACTTAGCAGATTCTGCAGGTCACCAGAACTCTGCCCTAATTCAGATACCTCCCCACACCAGAGGAGCAGAGCTTGGAGAGAGAGAGCCAAAGCCCCAGTGAGCGGAAGTGGAACTCTGAACTCCATGAAGAAGTTCCACAGCAGCAGTCAACACTCTTAGCCTTGGCTTGAGTGGCACGGGCACTGCAGAATCTTATGTAGCCCAGGTTGGCCTTTTTATGCAGTTAAGTATGATCTTGAATTTCTGGTTCTCCTGCCTCTACCTCCCAAGTATTGGGACTATGGAGGTATATTGTCATACTGGCCTTTTTAAAATTTTGGAGATCTAGGTTTTTAAGACTTGTGAATTTATAAACACAGTGATATAATAACCACAAATAAAATTAAGCAAATATAAACACAAAACAAGTAATAACTTTAAAAAACCTAAAAATGAAAGGCCCATGAGGAAGACAGTCACAATAGTGAGCTGCAAATAATTAGTTCTAATAACTTAAGTATCGAATAGTAATACAGCCAAAAATTATAGCATGACTGTATTGGAAGGATCTACAAGAGTTCTTTAATCAAAGAATAGCAGTTTATACATATTGTTTATAAGCAGAGATATAAGTAACTGTCATAATAAATGGCTCTAATACCTTAATAGCTGTTGCTGGGGATGGAAACTCTAGAAAAGTAGAGGGAGAATCTATTGTATTTGGTGACAAGCCTGTCTTATAATATACACATATATAGTGTCTCCCCCCCCCCCCTTCCTCTTGTTGGAGATCAGGCTGAGGCTTTGCAATTGTGAAAATAATTTATCAATAAACTATAACCCTCACACAAAGGAGAGGGCAGAGGGCAGAGGTAGAAGTCAGGTGTCTTCTTTGACCTCCACCTTATTTTTTTGGATCAGCTTCTCCAGTTCTGCCAGGCTGCTCAGCAATCTCCACCTCCTCAGCGCCAGTGTGAGCCACCACATTTGGCTTTTTCTGTATGGCTGCTGGGGAACTCAAATGCAGATCCTCACACTTGCATAGCAAGTGCTTTCAAGACTGAACCATCTCAACAGCTCACTCACCCGACATTTTGAAAACAGTGTGCTACTAATATTTTTACACGGTGAGCTTTATATGATTAGAATTAACTGTTGCTTATGATAATGGGTGCAACTATCAATATCTACAAAAACTAACAGAGTAGCAAAATACCAAACCCTCAAAGTACCCAAAACTGAAAGGAAATAGCCAATATTAGTATCATTTTCCCAAATCAACTGATCATTTACTTTAAATTTAGAGATGGGATGGCAAAGATGGCTCAGAGGTTAAGAACATTGTTCTTCTGGAGAGCCTGAGTTCAATTTCCAGCACCCACATTAACTATCTATAACTCCAGTTCCAGGGGATCCAATGCCCTCTTCTGGCCTCCTCAGATACCAAGCAAGCACATGGTATACAGATATACATACCGGCAAAACACATACATAAAATAATTTTAAAATAAGTGAGTGAATTTAAAGGTCTGTAAAGGTATTGGAAGCCAAGAAATACAATGTACATATTGTTAAAGTGTTAACAACATAATGTTTAAGAATTAATCTGCCTGTTTTTGTCTCTGTGAATACTTATTACATTCACAAAATTACTTTTAGAAAATGAACCAGTGTGGATCTTAATCAGATACTAGAATTCACTGAACATATTAAAAAAACAACCTAGAAATTAGGAAACATTATTTTAAATTGCTAAGTCCTGATTGTAGAGTATAACTGAAAAATGGATGGCTCTCTTCACACACAGATTATCTGCTGGCCTGTGCTAGCTCTACTGCAGCTGAGAATTGCTGAAGTCCTCACCACCAGAAATGCGCCAGTGACGCAGTCTGCCATCTTCAATGTGACAGTCCAAGACTCTATTAGTGTATGTTAGCGACATTGTCAAATACGTGTATAAAATACTTAAATTTTACTTATACTACCCTAATGTATATTCTCCCACCCTTCTTGATGGTCCCTTCCTATTTCCTAACAATCTCCTTTCTGTTTCTAGTAACAGTTTTTAAGTTATCCATCTTTACCAGAGATGTAAAATTCTTACCTGGGGAAAGGTCAGCAATTTAGAATACTGACCAAAGTGTACACTCAAGTAAGGAAGTAAACTAGCTATAAAAATCTGCAGGATTTCCTAAGATGTACTATATTTATTGACTATAGTGCTTTCTCATAAGGTAAATGTGAATTGTGTTAACTCTGACTGGTTGCCATCATTTTTAACTTGTTAGAACAAAGATTGGGAACAATGGATTGAACTAAGACATCTAATGATAGGAATAAAAACCAATTATATAAAACAAGCCAACTGTACAAGATGTTTGGTAAGCAAGAGTTTTGAGCCAGACATCTTGCTACAGACTTCAACTCTACTGTCAGAGCTTCTTTGTGTTCAATGTTCTGTGCTTGAAAACACACTCCAAATTTCCTGTCTGTAACTGGAAACAATAACACTCAGGAAGGAACTTCCCACTCGCCATGGTTCTCTGTGGCTTGTTTTTTCCTATGCAGGCCACTCTGCCATCTCACAAGGCATTCACACAAGGCTTACTCCACACACAATATTTTTTCTTTCTTTTTTAAAATTTGTGTGGGTGTTATATGCATGTGTGCATACATGTGTGTATAGGAAGTCCAGAAAAGGACATCAGGTGTCTTCTATCACTCTCTTGAAACAGGGTCTCTTACTGAACCTGGAGGTTCTGTGGGTCTCAGTGCCCCCTTGCAGGAGTTAGACTTTTATGTGGATGATAGGGATTCAAACTGAGGACATGTTAGTTCAGCAAATGGTCTGATCTGCTGAGGCACCCCTACCCCACCCTAAACTACTACCTCCCCTGGCAGGATTTTTCCTGAAGTTTTTCTAAAGCCCTAATATTTCTCCCTAGAATTTTCAAGGCCCCGGAGCAGTGTTGTGTGTACCTTCACATGCTTTCCTATCCCTGGATGAAGTCTGGGAAAATTCAGCCCTCCAGTTATGGCAAAAAGCAAGTTTTATTCTGCCCACTTACTGGGCAAGGAGAAAACATGAGTATTTCCAAACTGAAGCATTCAACTTTCAAAAACAGAAAATGCTC